CATGAGTGTTAAGGTGTTGGCACAAAAAGGACGGATGCAGACCAACAGTACAGCTCAAAATTCTCAGAATTTTCTTTCATTCAAAAACCAGGTGAACACTTGAATGCCCCCGACGCAGGAATACACCCTATAGCGAGTTCAACAGCAACAAACCTGGCAATTTTTGGCAATAAACAGGACCTAAAAAACATTCCTGCTTTGTACAAAAGACGATAAGGAAAAAAAGGACGATTTATGTGTTTCGGAGTAAAATTGCAGGTTAGAAAACTGACTATAAAATTGTCACTCACCCTGAAGAGCTTTTCTTATGGAAAAGCAGAGGTCAAGTGGCACAGACTAATAAACTGGTGGACGTACCAACTACTAAGTACCTAATACCAGCTCAGAAAAGGACAAAAAAAAAAGAACAAAAGAACAATAGTCTTGCCTCAAGTACCAGACTTTTCAACCAAAGATCGAGGTGTTCACAAAAACTTGTTCTTTCTGTAGAACTATTTCAGAGTGGAACTCGCTGTCACCAAGTACAGTAGGGGCATTATCATTAGATAGCTTTAAACAATGTCTAGAGTTAGATGTTCAAAGGTTAGGTGTAATAAGCTATAGCCATGCATATATGGTCATGTAAATGCTTTTTCCTCAAATCCCCAACAGCTCTGAAGTAGTTATACTACCTCTACATGCTGGAGTCCATGAAAGCTTCGTGGTGTGCGTAAAGCCAAGCTTTGTAGGAAACCTGCTATTAAAAAGATGCTACATGATAATTGACATGCCCACCCTGGTACTCCATTCACAAAAGACTCTGCATTGTACCTACGCAATTTTCCAGTGACCAGTTCCTACGTGCATTTTGTTCGGAACAGACGAAAAGGAAAAGCCACTTATGTCCATGTCACTGCACCTTTTTATCACGTCTTTGTGACCCTTGGCAACAAGTTTGGTCAATTTTCCCTGTCTGAGTGAGTTGATACACATGTCCGTGTTCACCTCACATGGCCAGGGCATTTCAATGCTTCAAAACTGGTCCAACAACTTTATCTACAGCGAACAAATCCGTGTACAATAAGACCCTCAGATCACGGCTTCAATCTGCCGTTTCCATCAAATTCAATTACGGGCTTTCCGACAAAAGCAGGCGTTCTTTGTTATGATTCTTCTCATTTTCCCTAACACCACTTAAGTAAGCGTCTCTTCCTCTATTGATGCTGCGAAATCCTCTTTGCACTATTGCGCTACAACGAAAGGTCTCGGGTAATCCACCCAAGGCCAGGACAGGTGCTCTGGAGCGACAATGGGTTAAACCGACGTTTTGTCCGACACAAGGTTTCACCCCGCGTTTCTGTCAATCAATGGTTTTCCGCAGCATTCCTGGCCATTGAAGACAACATAACGTGTTTTGTTGAAGAGCGTGGCGGGTCTTGGGGGCAAGGACAGCCCGGCATTACGTCTGGCTGGTCATTCGTGTAAATAGCCCCTCCGATTGACCCACGCTGCAATCAAATACAAGAGCTACAAGGTCGTTGCGTGTTTACCAAACAAAGCGGAGAAGAACCACTGGAATAATAGTTGCTAGAGCATTGTCGATACCTGTCCTTCTCAGGCCACTCTAATCCCCAAGCAGATTCAGTGGGGCAAGGGAGTCTAAATTGGCCACCTGTATCCATTTTTTCCCCGTTCAAGGTTCAAGATATAGCCATTGGCCTCCTATAAGTATTGGCCGCCCCACAAGACAGGTGGCCAATATAGACTCCCCTTGCCCCATAGCATCTGCCTGGAGATTAAGGCCACTTGATAATTTAACTTTGATACCAAGTGACTTCAAGAATCTGGACAGTTTTTGAAAAACAAACGTAAAACTCTGGACTGAAAGTTTCAGTCATTTTGTAGCACGGACAATGCCAACAATAAGGGATAAAAGTATAAACAGGGTATACGATGCAGACATTGCAATGACTCCCAAGGCAGCAAAGCTGATATTAGAGAGTCAACATATAAGGACAAAACACAAAGGGCACATAATTTCAAATACAGTGTGAAATACAAGAACAATCATAAGAACTTAACCTATGTCATTCTAATAAATTAAGTACATATATATACAAAGTAAAAATAACGCATTTGGATGTCAGAAGTCCAGAAAAAAAAAAGACTACCTCATAAGGGAAAATTGATACTAAATAACAAGGCTAGGAGGAAGAGCTGGAAGTGCCTAGAAACGGTTTGTTGAAGATTGTACGATGCATGGATGCCATACAAATGGGTTCTGAAAGGTTGGGAGGATTAGGAGTGACCTCAGGACAGTTTAAAGGTCAGCGTTGACGTGTAATTTCGCGAGGCCTCCGTGTTAGATACGTGAGCCTGCCAAGGCCACCTGTCAAGTTAACGTTTGTTTGTTATGTTCACCCAAGATGCAGTTTTTCATGTTCACTTAGTCATCATCATGATTATTGTTTATCCATATCGTGTTGCGTGACTGCAAATATTGATCACGGCGCCGTTCGCATTCTTTGATCGACATTCGAATTCTCCCAAGCCTACCATTGTACGAATTATTGTAGAGATACGTAGGTCTAAGACTTGTTTTTTTTTGTCTGCAAAACTGATAAAAATTCTCTCATATGAGGTACAGCAGTTTCGAAATGGGATATATATTATATAATGTTCAACTGTAAATTAAAGTGTTTCTTTTTAATGTCTTTTGTGATTAGTTGAGCAGTACATACGTACGGTTTGTATAGGATACGTCTGTCAACATGTAAACGTAACTGAAATCGTGAGGTGGACAAATCCGTCAATCCGACCCATTGTGTCCCAGGCTGAAGGAAAGTTCTTAAAACAGGAACTATGCAGCTTCAGGTGGCTTACTGATGGCTGACTGCAATGTTCAATGGATTTGTCCAATTTGTGAATTCAACATTCAAACTTGTTTTTAAAATGTTTACTAGTAGTAAAACAAACATGCAGCACATCAAAGTGCATCGTGTCAGTGCATCAAAAGTGCGATGAATTTTACTATAATTTGTTCGGACACTGGCGGACTGAAGTAATGTAATAATTATTATAATGTCCCGCTGTGATACAAGCATTTTGGAGTCGAGTATTATAGCATTCATACTCTAAGTCTAATTTTCAGTTATTGTGCATACATGTATGTGCACATGAATATGGCGTGTTCACATTCGTTGTAGGTGGTCCTATAATTTGATAATGTGGAACAGTATTGTGAAGTGGGCTGTCCACAGACACTAATGTCAGTCTTTTTGGTGACAAGACAGCTGCCTTGGCTCTTGCAGGACTATCTGAAGAATATCCTCAGTTTTGTAAGATTGATCGTACAATGATCGCATGGCAAATGTGACCTTGCCCTTTTCTTTGGTAATAACACAGCCAGTCTGAATCATAATTATATAAACTGCTGTCCTGACGCACATGCGACATTTCACAGTCACACAGGGTCACACACTCCAGACTCATCTTTAATTTATAACTTGAAGAAAGGCCCTTCCCCCCTTAAGTTCCTTTAAAACCCCTCCATCCTGCTCTTATGATCTGTGAAACTGATGGAAATCAAGTAGAGCAGTTTCAAACTGTGCAACTGTTTTTTAAGTCTTTGAATGTCTTTTTGTAGCAGTTACATGTATTGCAAGCGTTAATTTTCATTGTGTGTCCTTTGCGATATTTCACAGTCACAGTACCACACACTACAGACTGACATCTTTAATTTATGAGGCCTTTTCCCCCCCTTAAGTTCTTAAAACCCCTCCATCCTGCTCTGAAGGTCAGGCGATTCACAAAACCACGTCACAAAAACCCTGAGTGACAGTCCCACTGGGATCTCTGTATCCTCTTCTTCACATCCTGTCACGCAGAACATGGGGAGAAAGCTAGAGGGGATAACATCATGATTCTGTATCTCACTCCAAGCCAGGGCTAGAAATACTAAGTACTTATTTCTGCCTGCACTTTTGCAGGCTACATTGGAAATTCCCTGCACCGGTACCAGACAAAATTTGATTTTACCTGCACTTCTCTGAATTTAGGAAGTATGGATAGTACTGAAACTGTTCAGAACCTTTTTCTATTATTGTTTCTTTAAAATTTATACTTGGTGGTAACATGTGGTAACAGTCAATGCAGCGAATAAAAATCCACATACACCTATTTTGTACAAGGACCAGTGCAGGTTAGCTGCAGGTAGACATCAGAAACACCTGCACAGCTCCAATTTTACCGGTACTAACCAGCATACATGTATACCCATGTACATGGACCAGTGCAGGTTAGGTGCAGGTAGACATGAGAAATACCTACGCAGCTCCAATTTTACCTGCACTAATTAAAAGGTGCATATCTTTAGTATTTTGATCCCTGCAAGATGAATCCACCCCTCCTCTACACAATAGACAAGATCTCTCGTAGGCTCATGGTGTTGAGTTTGTTTGGCCATGTTTTTATTAGTTTAGCTTATATAGATGAAATCCACAGCTTTGAGATTTCTTTCACATGCAGATGTTGTATATGTGAACTTATTGTTAAGTTGTCAGGGCCAAGGAAGATCCAAATGAAAAGATCAAAGGCCATTCGGGTTGGTATAAGTGATGCAAGAATATTGTTTTTACATCTACATGTACCAGAGTTGTGTATTCTACTCAGCTAAGAATAGATTATGTTGAACTTGAACATGTGCACTATATCCTATAGCTCAAACCACTCAAAATTCTTTTCCATTGTATTGTATTCTTTATTCTCACATAAATAATAAAAACCAATACAAAGTAAAATACACATTCAAGAAGAGTATGCTGAAAGCAGAGACCTATTTGGTCAGTTTGTTAGCTCAATACAGCCCATTGATTTGTATTTCTTAAACTGTATCATCAATCAGTCACACTTTCCAATAAAGATCTTGTGCTATTTAATTATAACACATGGTATTCTATGATGGTTGTGCCAGCTTGCAGCATTTGACTAATATACGTAACGGTATTCTTCTGTCTCTACAGCGCGGTCATGTGTTACAAGGTGTCTTCAAAGTCAAAGGATTCGACATGGCGCTAACGTTAGACGTCAGATTAAACAGGTGAGTGTGGCATTAATGATATTTTGCTTGGCTATATAATTATGTAACCTGTGTTATGGAACCAATGGTTGTACATTGGATTACGTAGTTCTAAGGGTCATTTCTGAAATAAGACTTTGAGACTTTTACACAACCAAGACAGTAGTGTTTTATTCACAGCTGACAGTTCGGTGACCGTCTGTCACCTTCCTCATCTCAGGGCAATTCTGACTGGTTCACATTGCACTGCAGCACAGGTGTAGCTGCTATAGATGCATTCCCAAATGTAAAATATTTACATATCTACAATGTACATAATATATAAACGTCGGCTGTGAAGAAAACACTTGGTTGTGTAAAAAAGAGCTTCTTTACATGGTGACTTACCAACCTGATGAAACTATTCACGGATGAAATAAAACTTGTTTTTTCAGGAATCTGTTTGGGAAGCAGTATTTTGAGAAGTACTACCTACCTGATGGTACACCTGTGATAGAACGGCCTAGTCGACAGGTAAGGAACGTTTTACTGCAGGAAGCATTTTAATTGTAAAATTTATAAACGCCTACTTTATGGCAATGAAGGTTACAAATTATAGACATCCAGGTAATGAGATACACAAGGAAATTGTTACTCAAGCAAATGGATAAACTTTGAAAACTGTTAAAAGTTTCAAGTCGCATCCACTATTTTTTGTCACTGAGGAAAAGTAGTGGATGCTACATTGCTACTTGAAAGGTCTGCCAGTTTTCAAAATTTATCCAGTGCAATAAGTAAAGTAAAGTTAAGGAAACAAGAGTTCAGGTCTGAAACAGGTCTTTTTATATTTCAGTCCATACCATGGTATGGATGAAATATATTGTGTTCCCTCATGTTTCTGCTTCTCCTCCTCCTTCTCCTCCTTCTCCTGCCAAACAGTCAGAGCCATCATTCAGCCAAATGACTTGAAAATTGGCATGGAAGTAGAGTGAGCAAATACCCCCAGACGTTTTTTTCATTTTTTTGAAACATGCCTTTGAAAAATTTTTATGAAGGTTTTTTGGGGCATTTTTTGACAAAAAATGGATTTTTGGATCCTGAGCCCTGGTATTACAACCAAATGATATGACATTCGGTATAAAGGTACCTTGAACGTGTGTCTACAGAATAGCAGTCATATATTTGGCATACATCACTTCCAAATGACTCATTTGGGGGACTTTAATGGCTATTTTCAGCAAAAAAAGGGCCAAAAGTGCCATACCCGTTCCATGTTCTATCTAAAGAATGGCCGGTTCCATCCATGGAACATGTGTTCCATTGCGGGTTACCTGAGGTCACATTGCACCTAAGTGGTGCGTAATGACCCACACATTCAATTTTATGTGCCTAAGACCTTCAAAATGTATCAAATCTCATCATTGACATTGTTAGCTTTTGCATACCTGTAATAAGATTAGTGAAGGTTTCGAGATTCAAAGTACTTGTTGTTGCATCTTTGTTCTCATATAGCTACTATTTAATTCATTTATTTGAGAACCTTTGCCAGTTTTGCACTGGGGTAAGTTTGGAATAGTCCACTTTTGCGTGGTAGGGAGATGGACTGAAATATGCTGTATTTGCTCCCAAGCAAATGTCGGCCTTTCTAGTTTATTTCCTTTTTCTGGAGAAAGGAGAGCGGTCTAATATAACGTTACACTCAGACTTTGGTTGTCCAAAGAATTGCAGAAGAGAATTTTCATGTTCCCCTTTCCCCACAGAACCACTGCCACTACCACGGTACAGTACGCGGGGAGGAGGGGTCAGCCGTGGCACTCAGCACGTGTAACGGGCTCAGGTGAGGTTGCCATGGTGATGTTGCCATGGTGAGGTTGCCATGGTGATGTTGCCATGGTGAGGTCGCCATGGTGCTGACTGACCATCCAATGCTACTTCAGCAGTAAAAATTTCATGTAGAAGATGGAATCAAAATCTTCAACCTTAAGCTTGGAGACCTTCTAGCTAGTAGTACACAAAATGTTGTATTAGATGTATTATTATGTGTCCTTGGAAAAAAGATTGTAATTGGTCTACATGTATTTTAATTCATGATTGTTTCTACTCAAATTACGTTCATGGAGTAAAAAAAGGCTTCTAGCCCTAGTACGTAAACAAAATATATAAAATCCTGTTATAAAATAGCATGGTGTCATATTTTCACAACATCACAACATGTCTTTAAGTTAGCAATTATATAACTATATAACATCTTTTATAGTGTGTATGTTACAGTAGTGTGTCCATACAACATGTACATTATGTGTACTCTGTGTTTTTTCCACTATGGTCATGACCAATTCTTGCCGTATGTTCTAGTGGGGTGATCCACCTGGCAAACCAGACGTTCTACATCGAGCCTCTACAGAACTCCACAGAACAACATATCATGTACAGAACTACAGACATCAACATGCCAAGGAGAGTCTGTGGTGAGTTCTGTAACGTTACTGTTTATTTGTTTGCTGCTTCTCTGGTCTCCAGAAGCAAAAAGGAGAAGAGGCTGTCCATACTCTATACTAAAGGACATTATTGAGTTAGAAATATGAGTAGAAAAGAACTCATAGAAACGTACAATGTATGACAGAAAACGCTGCCGCTGGAAGCTGAACTTACGTTAATGCTTCAACTCGTTAGAGTATGATTATACATGTATGTATGTGTGTTGTTTTTGTGGTGAGCATGTCAGCAGAACGTACTGGGTCCGCAAAACCTGGATTTTTTACGGTTTCTGTTAGATGTTTGGTCAACGTTGCATCAGAATTTTTCCTGTTGCAGTTAATATCTATTCCGACATACCTTATATTTTGGAAACTACAGGCGGGATGTTAACCTTAAATACTCGAATACGACCTTAAATGAGATGTTCTGCCAAATTTAAATTTAAAGGGCTTTGCACGATACATTGCAGGTTTTTTCTAGGCACAGTATGTTCTGCTGACATACATGTACATACACTGCTGTTGTGGTACAATGTATTGTACAATGTACTAGGTGATGTACGTTATGTACTAAATGCACTAAGTACTCCCCCTAGTGGTTCAGACTTTTACTGCAGATAAGACATATGTATAATCTTGGCTAAGACAGAGATAAATGTATGGGAGTGTTTTTTTGTTTTGTCGACTGGTTTTGGCTCATTCCTTGGTTTATATTGGAACGAAAAGAAAAAAAAGACTGAAGAATAAAAGCTACAGAAACCTCCAGAAGACATTTTATTTACTTTAATTCATCTAATTTTTCATCTAATGTTAAATTATACATTTGTGTAAGAAAAGTGTCCTGGCACATGTCAAGTTTCAGTCCATTGCCTTTTATGATGTACATAAAGATGTCAGTTGGAAGGTTCCCTAATTTCGCAGAAGTGCTTTCTAATCGCTTATTAGACCATCCATCACCTAAAGTATTGACAAGGCCACATATTTTAGATTGACAAGATAATAGAGCGTCCCTCAGCAAAAATTCCATCAATGTAGTCACCTATGTGTTAGATCTATATCTACAGGACCAATACTATAACATACTAGCTGTTAGTTAGCTTCTGATAGATAATGTAGGGTTTCAGTAATTGTAACAGATACTTGAGGGTTTTTAGGTTAATTTTCCTCAACTTTGTATCAGCAGGATATAGTAAATGTATTAGGAAATTCTGTTGATTTGCTGATGAAGAAATGAAATTATACATTAGAGTGACATGTGGTGTGTTTAATGCCAATGAAATACCAGGCCCGACTTTTGAATTATTAATAATAGCACTTTGAAGTATGACATATTTGACAGGATCCAGACATGTTCCAAGAATGTTGTTTTTGCTGAAAGTTTTTAAAGTTTTGTCGGTGAAGGTTAGACATCCAGGTAATAAGATACGCAAAAAAGCAGTTACTCAAGCAACTGGATATGAGTTTGGAAATGGTCATACGTTTCAGGACTGGTAGTATCCACTACCTTTCTCTAGTGTCAGCGTTTGTAAAGTTTTGTATGTGACTTTAAGCTGATGTTTTTGCCCCCAGGACAGGACAGTGTGCCTGAACCAGTAGAAATTGACTTTGCAACAGAGAAGAAAAGAGTAGAGAATGCAAGGGTAAGTAAAAAACTGGACCAGATTCTTTGTACCATACTAAAAAAAAGCAAAACAATATCTGAGCTGAAAGTAGTGAAAATATTATATACAGTACAATATGAAAGGTGCCACTAGGGAAATATGTATCAAGCAATAGCTGGACCAACTCAGAATTTGCACGGAATACCACCAATACATGTATCTTTATCACCATGACCTGTACTTAGCTCTTAAGGGCATAAAAGTACAATTAGTTTTTTTAGTTTTATCAATTCATTTTATGTTATGTGTTTCTTGCCTTGCTGTTCCAGATGAGGCGACAGGTTGCAGAGAGCAGGACTGAGACCAAATATGTGGAACTCATCATGGTGGCAGACAACATGGAGGTATGATATGGAACAGAATTATGTTTCATATTTTTTTATCTACTGACATTTGAAAGTGCAGGAATACACATTTCTGGCTCTGATGTTTCAAATCTGTTTCTCTTTCTCCACAGTACCAGAAACATGACAGCAACAGGCAGACAGTACTAGACAGACTACAGGAGGCTGCTAACATCGCCGACTCTGTAAGGATTCTTCGAATTTTTACGTCATATTTTATTGAAATTAAAATGTTACAATACAGTAGACTACCCAGGCAGCAAAGCTGACTTGGGGCACGACAGTTTAACAAATAAGTCAGCATACACATACAACTAACTTATTCCTTATCAATAAAGTTATAAAAGTTACATGATATATATATGCACTTTAAGTTACAAAAGCACTAACTTAAAAGAAATTCATACTGTTTGGCACATATCGTTGGTTGGAAGTCTGAAGTCATGTGGGGGATATTTGTTATGCTGAGAGTACATGTAGCTTGTAGTCATTGTGTTGGAACAAAAGTTTAAATTTGATCAGCTTCTGAATTGGTATGATAAATTATTTGACTTGCACAGATCTACAAGACCATCAACATGCGGGTTGCGCTGATGGGGATCGAGGTGTGGACCAGCGGGAATCCCATCGACATCACGGCGGTCGCCTCGGAGACGATGTACCGCTTCCTGGACTGGCGGCGAGACAATCTGCTGCAGGACAACCCCGACAACGACAACGCGCAGCTCATCACGTCAGTTACTGTAGCATTCCTCTTATTTTTTCTGGTCAACCTTGGCTGAAGCCTGATGCTTTTTTGTGAGCTGGTATTGCCAAGCGGATGCAGCTTCACTACAGCTACACAGCTTGTGTAAAAATGTATACAAAATGCGTGCGTTATGGATGATTGGGCATTGCATGAAATATTTGGCTATCCAGAATTCTTCCAGTCATTCAAAAGTTAAATCTTCCAACTTGCTGCCATAGAAGAGTTTTAGCATGTGTAGTAAAGTCTTAGAATCTTTTAGATGCAAATCAGGCTTGTGAATCTACAGGTGGTCACTATAAACAGAATTCTTCATGCTTTCTACCAGCGGAATGAAAGTGGTCGCAATGGCCAGGTGGTCCTCATGTACAGGTGTCCACTTGTTCATGTGTGGCTGTACTAAATCAAAAGTCTTCCTTTTGCATTGATCGACAGAGGCATCACGTTCCAGGGCAGCACAGTCGGCATGGCTCCCCTCTCCAGCATGTGCAGATGTCATGACTGATCTGTGTTGTTTTGTTTGTGTTGTTCCCCGTACAGAGGCATCACGTTCCAGGGCAGCACAGTCGGCATGGCTCCCCTCTCCAGCATGTGCAGATGTCGTGACTGATGTGTTGTGTGTTATGCAGAATTGTCATGACTGATGTGTGGTGTGTCATGACTGATGTGTGTAATGTTTTGTTTGTGTTGTTCCCCGTACAGAGGCATCACGTTCCAGGGCAGCACAGTCGGCATGGCTCCCCTCTCCAGCATGTGCAGATGTCATGACTGATGTGTGTTGTTTGTTTGTGTTGTTCCCCGTACAGAGGCATCACGTTCCAGGGCAGCACAGTCGGCATGGCTCCCCTCTCCAGCATGTGCAGATGTCATGACTGATGTGTGGTGTGTTAGGCAGAATTGTCATGACTGATGTGTGTAATGTTTTGTTTGTGTTGTTCCCCGTACAGAGGCATCACGTTCCAGGGCAGCACAGTCGGCATGGCTCCCCTCTCCAGCATGTGCTCCGCCGGCAGGTCCGGCGGGGTCGACGAGGTAGGTCATAGGGCACAGGTTAAGGGGTATTGATAAGTTAGGTCATAGGGCAAAGGGTAGACATCATATTGGATTGATAAAGTAAGTTGGTCATAATGTAAATGATCAATATCTTCAAAGACACTAGGTGCACCTAAGGATCAGCTATGTGTCACATACATTTTACCAGGTACATTACAGCATTTGTTACGTAAACAAAATTCTGTATTGTGCTTTCATGAGAAATTTTGTCCCAAATTAGAATTAGTTGTGGCTGTCATTCTTCAATTGAGAAAAATGCACCTCATGAGTCTGCCTCTGCCTCTTGTGGCAAGTATCATTGTCAAAATAAATGCAAAATGGTAATTATAATAGAATACAAAATGCAAACACCAGAATGATGCAGAAATGTGGACATGACTAAACTTTCCTGTGATTTTACAGGACCATGGAGTCCATGCGGCGGCGGTGGCGTCCACCATGGCACACGAGATGGGTCACAACCTGGGCATGAACCACGACACGGACGATCGCGGCTGCTCCTGTACGGCCACCTGGCAGGAGGGAGGCTGTGTCATGGAGCCCGCAGCAGGGTGGGTGGGCAGTCCTCGTACTGGCATCAATGATAACCATTTATTTATTTATTAGTTTGTTTGTTTGGCTGAAGATACAACCAAGGCTGCCCAACATGCATGGGGCTATTACTAAGGGCAAACCTTGACTGTCTGTCATCTTCATCAGGGCACAATTGTTTTGAGACTTTGGACTGCATTGTTACAGTAACATCTAGCTCCAGTGCATAGTAAACCAGCCATACATGCATATGTATGTTAGCCCCGTTGAAGATGATAGATAGTCATTGAAACATACATGTATAATGAGATGGGTCACAACCTGGGCATGAACCACGACACCGACAATCGCGGCTGCTCCTGTACAGCCACCTGGCAAGAGGGCGGCTGTGTCATGGAGCCTGCAGCAGGGTGGATGGACAGTACTCGTACTGGCATCAATGCCATTTATCTCTTTGTCTAAAGTTAAAACTTTTGATCCAACACAAAAAGTTCTCTCACCTAGAGCTTTCGACCAGTCACTCTGGTCTTCCTCAGTAGACTGACACAGTGAAGCTTGTCACGTGACGTGATCAAAAGTTTTAACTTTAAACATGTAACACAGATGAACTTACATCATTAGCATTTTATCTATTTGTTTGGTTGAAGATACAGCCAAGGCTGCTTAACTAGCATAGGGCTATTCTGTCATCTTTGTCAGGGGTAATACCTATTCATGTCACTCTGGACTGCATTGTTGCAGTAAATACTAGCTTCAGTGCACAGTTAACCAGTCATATCAGCCCGGTCATGGAAACGTCAGCCCAAGTAAAATAAATGCTTGTGAATAAAAGAACTTTACTATTCAACCACCTGATGAAATAATTTACGGATGCTGTACTTCTGTGTTGTCCAGGTCCCAGCCTGCGGCGGTGTTCTCCTCCTGCAGCTCGACCGACCTTCAGAACGCGCTGCTGAAGGGCGTGGGGGCGTGTCTGTACAACCTGCCGGACGCTGACCAGCTGTACGGCGGGCCGGTCTGCGGGAACGGCTACCTCGAGGACGGGGAGGACTGCGACTGCGGGACAGTCGACGTACGTTTAATTTAGTGATGCTGAAGAATAGTGATAGATCGTCTGGAAGTAATCCGTAATTTATTCAGTAGTAGAAGAAGCATCAAACCACTTCCAATGAAGATTAGACATCCTGGTAATGAGATACACTTGTTGTCAAGAAAAAGGTACTCAAGTAACCGGATAGATTTTGAAAATATCCACTACTTTCAAAGCTATGAAATGCTCTATCAATTGGAGTAATACTGTATCCAGTCACTGACAAAAAGTGGTGGATGCTACTCAAAATGTCTGACAGTTTTTAAAGTCTATCCAGTTGCTTGAGTAACTTTTTTCTGACGTGTCTCATTACCTGGAGGTCTTAAACTTCATTGATCTAAGTAGGAATGTGATTTGATGCCTCTTCCGTCTAACCTACATCTGTTGATGAAAGACATCCTGGTAACTTTTTCTTGCATGCGTAGTCCTACTCTGATTAATTGCACGGAACCTCCTGCCCCCCAACAGGAGTGTACTAGCCCATGCTGTGACCCCAGCACCTGTACCTTACATGAGAACGCCACTTGCGCCATCGGACTGTGCTGCGAAGGCTGTCAGCTGGTGTCAGCCGGAACCCTCTGCAGAGACGACCTTGGAGACTGCGACCTTCCGGAATACTGTACAGGAACCTCCCCGCATGTATGTGCCATACTTTGAGTCACTCAACATTTTTCCATGTATAACTTAAACCTGTTTTGTGGTATGTCTTCCTTATGCCCCCTAGCAAAATCATGACAAACTGCAGTGCCATGATAGATATCACCACAGTTAATAAATTTTTCACGTTGTTCCCAAATGTGTATAAGCCTGTCATGGACAGCGATAGTGAGGCCAAGCCAAGAATTTAAGCCAAGCCCTTAAGTCTGTATATTTGCGTGTTTCAGTGTTTGATCTCCAGCATAAGAGACATAAAAAGGAAAAGGGCAGATGGTGCATTTCCCTTTAGAGAAAGTTTGAGTACCGGTGTACTTTCGAGCAGGTGTGATAATCATTTTTTGTGTGTTTACAGTGTCCTCCAAACGTGTTCATACAGGATGGGTACGACTGTTTGTATGAAGAGGTGAGTCTTGTCCACTGGATTAATAAATTTTGTGCAGTTATTAGAAGTGCAGTTATGACATGTCAGTTGCTATGATACTATGTTATATCAGAGAGTGATTCAGGATTCAAGTTTATTTGTTCATCCAGAGTGTCTAGGGATCTACAGATCTATTTCTACTAGCTGAATTATGAAAATAAAGAATTTATATATTTTTTTCTTAAAGTAAGGGCATTTGAGACATCTCAACACTTTATAGCATTGTACATTTTCTGTCGTCAAAGCCTCACAACAGTTTTTGATTGAAATCTGAATAACAGTTTGCCCCCCTCCCACCCCTCACTAGGGTTACTGTTTCAATGGAGCCTGCCTGACCCACGAGGCACAGTGTAAGGAGACATGGGGGGACGGTAAGTAACAAGCCTGCATGCTGGAATGGTCCATTTATAGTTTGTAATATATGTGTAATAAAAACATTGTGTACCATTGAATGTTGGTCTTCTTGTATGTGGAAAGTTGGTGTTCAATTTTCAAGTTGAAAGCCATGTTTCAACTTGTTTCAGAATTTAATGTTAAACATCAATCTATTGTTTGAGTCTTTAAAATTTCAGCTGAAATTGAAAATTTTTGGTTTTGAAAGTGGTCCAAATAATCAAAGTTTGGCAGCTGAATTTTATTTCATTTATTTGCAATGTATTTGCAACAATAAAAAGACAACATTAATCAACAAATATGCAAAACAAAGCAAAAAACAGTGTGCAGGAGGAGGGGAGAAGCCTGCAAGGCATGCAAAATGTCCTTGAAAAATAGGAATAAGAGTTGTAAGTTGTATTGTAAGAGTTGTTGTTTTGTTGTCTCAGCTGGAGAGGTAGCAGAGGACGTTTGTTACAGTCTCATCAACACAAAAGGAGACGTCTACGGGAACTGTGGGAAGGATGAGAACGACCAGTACATACCCTGCGATGAAGTGTGAGTTTTCTTTTAAATTCATGGCACTTTTCGTGGTACTGAAACACCATAAGCAGGACCATGTGCTGATTCTGGGTACTTTTCATGGTACTGAAATGTCAACAGCAGGACCATGGAACTTTCCATGGTGCTGAAATACTATCAGCAGTACCATGAAACACCACTACAAGTACCATGTCACTTTTCATGGTACTGAAACACCATCAGCAGTAACACAGCACTTTTCATGGTACTGAAACACCATCAGCAGGACCATAGAACTTTCCATGGTACTGGAACACCATCACTAGTACCATGGCACTTTTCATGGTACTGAAATGCTACCAACAACACCATCAGCAGGACCACAGTACTCTTCATTGTACTGAAACACATCAGCAAGACTATGGCACTTTCCATGGTACTAAAATGCCATCAGCAGTACCAAAAAAAATTCTCATGGTACTGGAACACCATCAGCAGTACCATGGCACTTTTCATGGTACTGGAACACCATCAGCAGTACCATGGCACTTTTCATGGTACTGAAACACCATCAGCAGGACCATGGCACTTCCCATGGTACTGAAAGACCATCAGCAGTAACATGGCACTTTTCATGGTGCTGAAACACCATAACTAGTACCATGGCATTTTCCCCAGTACTGTAACACCATCAACAGTTTCACAACACTTTTAATGGTACTGAAACACCATCAGCAAGACTATGGCACTTTCCATGGTACTGAAATGCCATCAGCAATACCAAAAAAATTTCTCATGGTACTGGAACACCATCAGCAGCACTTGAACCCTAGCAGTTTTTCAGTTCAAATACCAGAGAGATGAAATTCCCATATCACAGTCACAATCATAGAGGAGAGATCTGTGTGCTTTTTCCTGTACAAACTAACCTCCTTGCAACCTATTCTTCAGGGATATTAAGTGTGGTAAGCTGCAGTGTCAGGGTGGGACGGTGTACCCCATCATTGGCTCCAACGCGGCGACCATCGAGAGTAAGATCCCGTGGGAGGGGGAGATGATCACGTGCCGCGGAGCTTACATCGAGCTCGGGGACGACATGCCTGATCCTGGGCTGGTCCTGACCGGGACCAAGTGTGGGGAGGGCAAGGTGTGTTTGTTTGTTTGTTTGTTTGCTTGTAAGAGCGTTGAGAGTAAGATCCCGTGGGAGGGGGAGATGATCACGTGCCGCGGAGCTTACATCGAGCTCGGGGACGACATGCCTGATCCTGGGCTGGTCCTGACTGGGACCAAGTGTGGGGAGGGCAAGGTGAGTTTGTTTGTTTGTTTGTTTGTAAGAGCGTTGAGAGTAAGATCCCGTGGGAGGGGGAGATGATCACGTGCCGCGGAGCTTATATCGAGCTCGGGGAGGACATGCCTGATCCTGGGCTGGTCCTGACTGGGACCAAGTGTGGGGAAGGAAAGGTGGGGAAGCTTTCTTTCTTTCATTCTAGGCTTGTTTCTTTTTTCTACCTTACTTCCTTTCTTTCTCCCTCCTTCCCTCCTCCTTTCTTCCTTCCTCCTTCGTTCATATTCAGAGAGAAAGATGATGTTGAGGGTACATTGTAGTTTGTATTAGATAGAATTTATACCAGGATGCAAACATTTCTACAGTATGTTTAAGTTTCCCTTGTAATCTTCACTTCACTTGGCTTCTTTAAGTGTTTGTCTTTGGGTGCAACCAACCATATTGTCTTAAGCTCTGGGTAGGCTTGAGAGTTGATGGAAAGTTTGGGGTTTGAAGGTTGAAAATTTTGATGTTGGGTGTGTTTAAAAGTCTATGTCATGCTTTTGAGTTATTCTCTTGAAGTAGTATATTTCATATCAGCTTCTGGGTGGGACTATTCTTTGACAATGTCTTGATAACAGTCACGTTCTTTCTAAAAACTGAAAAGTGAAGCTTTCTTCCTGCACCTCTGCAGATCTGCTACAACCGCATGTGCCAGGAGATGAGAATAGTTGACATCGGCATCAAACCCTGCAACTGTAGCGGCCATGGGGTAAGTTAGTCTCACTGGAACTGTGCAGGTGTTTATGTTTACCTTCGCAGAAGAAAAGCATATCAATTTGTTTTTGCACTGTTTTTTCGTTGTTTTATTAACAGTAGGAGCGATGGCTGTCTTTGTTTTAAATTACATAGCTCGTGTTACTCCACCTTTCCATAACTTTCTCACAAACTCTTACTAACCATGTTACATTTCACCTGCTAGTTAGGTAACATTACAACAGTAGTAACAGTGTGACATGACACACTTGGAGGTACTATAAATCACTTCATATTTGCAGTAGCAAAAGTTTGTGGTTTGAGAGAAATGAACATGTTTGCGGAAGTATATGTTTGTTGTGGCGGCAGGTGCAGCAAAAAGAAAGTCAGAGAATTATGTGTTTGCTCTATTGATAAGGTTGAGGCAGAGAAGTGACCGCAAAAAAATACCACAAAAAATTTAAAATTTACAGTTACTGTAACATCTCCTTACTGGTTTCCTGCTTGTGTCCCATGTTGAACCCAGGAGTGTAATGAGTACAGTATGTGCCACTGTGACCAGGGGTACATTCCCCCCACCTGTAACTACACTCTGGAGGATGTAACGTGCAACTTTCCTTTTTCAAAAGCATCTGCTGGCAAATTCACAGAATGAAATTAAAGATAAAACATTAAGTTCGAATCAATATAGAGAATATTCTCAAAATATTTGCTGGCAAATTCATAGAATGAAATTGAAGATTCAGTTAATACTGTAGTTGAATTCAAATCATGAATATAGAGAATGCTTTCAAAGTATCTGCTGGCAAAATTCACAGAATGGCTTTGATTGAAGATAAAATGTTCAGTAGTTAAGCACAAATCAAGAATAAAGAGAATGCTTTCAAAATATCTGCTGGCAAATCACGGAATAAAATTGAAAACAAGGAAAAAATTCATTACTTACATGTAGGCACAAATCCAGAATATAGAGAATACTTTCATAATATCTGCTGTCAAATTCACAGAAATTGAAGATGGAAAAATTCAGTAGTTAGACACAAATCAATAATTCAGATAATACTTTCCGAATTTTCTGTTATTTACTGATCAGTGGATAATCAGAGTAACATGAAACCAATCCAGGAACAAATGTTTTAAGTAGCAACTAGTTCAATGATTTTACTAAAAAGAATATTAAATAACACAACACCATTAAATAAAAAAAGGTAATGAAATCAACGTCGCTTTTTTTGTGAATCAGAAAAAAAATGAAGCCGGCAAATCTGAGAACCAATTATTGACTAAATTGGTGTGGCCCACATGTAAGTGAGTGCAGTGTGTTCAGTAGATAATTGTGTGTGAACTATGATTATCATAAAACATTCAGTAGCTTAAGTGCAAAATAATTAATCAAGAATATATTGAGTACAGCAGCTAATTTTTCTAATTTGTGAATACCAATATTTTTGCAAAGCTGGCAAATCTGAGAACCAATGGACTAAATTGAGTGCAGTGCAGTGTGTTTAGCAGATAACTGTGTGAACCGTTCTCCTCAGGTGTGTGAGGTGAACCCGGGGTGTCGGTGGTGTGAGGACCAATATGTGCCATCCTCCTGTCCTGTTGTAAATATCGCTTATTGGAAAAAGTTTAAACAAGAGATGATTCCCAATCATGTCTTAAAAGTAGCTGAATTTAAGATCTCAGAGATCATGGCAATGCTGTTAACTTAAAGTTTGAATTCCTTGAAATATAGAAATTGATTTTCTTTTGTTGAAATTTGCTTGACAATTAAAACTGATGCTTAAGAAAAAATAACTTTAAAAGTTTAACATCTCCCATTGGAAGGTTTGAACTGAATCAAGGTCTGACTCTGGTTTTCAACATTTACTGGAAGTTATATCTACCTCAACGAAGTGATCACCAATCATTTGATTTAAGGATACTGGTTACCGTAGGTGCTCTAGCCACAACCTCATGTTATCACTTGACCAGCAGCAACAATAAAACAAGACAATACATGGAGAATTTTTTGAAAAGAAGAAAAAGATGTGGAGACAGTGAAGGGTCTTAAGAAACCAGAACTGAGTCCAAGTTTATTCACTTGAAAGGCCTCCATCAACTCTTTATTTCATCATTCCACAGTTTCTTCCATTCTTTCCATCACTAACTGTAACCTCTGAATATACAACCTCTAACCTTTGAATATACAAAAGTCATATATATGTACAAGTATCTAGTACATGTAGACATCCTTCACATGGCTTCACTGATGAAGTTTGGCTGAACCAATGAAAGCATCACAAGAAAACTGTTACTCAAGCAACTGGATAGAATTTGAACTGCAGCTGCCTAGCAGCAGAGGTCGAGGAAGACCGAAAAAGACTTGGATAGAGTGTGTGAAGAAAGACATTAGAGAGCCCGCCCTTGCCGGTGTTGACCCACTAGATAGGGCTGCCTGGAGGAGCGGTGTGAACACCAGTAATACTAGCCGACGGCTGCCGACCCCTGTGGCAGGGACAACAGCTGCAGCAGTATAATCAAATTCTGGATTGACAGACAGTTGCTTGAGCAACAGTTTTCTTGTGTATCTCATTACCTGGCTGTCTAACATTTATCGATGTACCAATGAGAGCATCTCTAACCTGATTGTTTCTGGTTGATTCTCAGGTGTGTAACAGTAACCACCACTGTCACTGTGACCCTGGCTGGGCCCCGCCCTTCTGTAACATCACAGGCCACGGAGGCAGTGTGGACAGTGGCCCTGTACAGCCAACTCACAGTACGTATCTCAACTTGTTTTGTGAGGGTCATAGAATGGTATGATATAATTATTATTATAGTAACATATTACACAGTAACTTTTGCTTTACAGGAAGCCTTAGACATTCTCTTGTTTTTATCCAAGCTATACTTGTACAGTGTCATGTATATTTTGATTGAGGTTCTATGCAAGATTTGTTTTTGGAAACATGTGTGACTTTGACTTCTGACTCAAAAGGAGTTTTTCCACCAAGTTAGACTATGAACTACGTATAGGGGTGTGTGTTGGTAACTGTATGACAGATGTTCATGACTTTTGTACCATACAGCTATAGTATGTACAATCTATGTATATGTACACAAGTATGTAAAAGTATGTACACCATGTATGTGTTGTGTTGCTTGTATGTTAATTGTGATGTTCTCACACATTCATCTGTAAAAAAACATTTAACCTTAACTTTTAATGCAAGGCATAACTGATTCATTTCATTTCTAAATATTGACATTGTCTAAAATCTAACTAACACCGCCGTGAAATCCCACACGCTTGCATGATCATGTATGATTGCTGTTGATTGCTTGCTGCTGTTTCCCCCCGCATCCCAGTCCCGCCTGTCGTCATGACAACAGAAGTGGGACAAAACTTGACGTATTCCCCGCGGGTGTCAGGTATAACACAATGTTTACTAATGATGGCTCTAACTTTTTCTTCTAGAGCAGCCACCAGATTTCCTACTCTCTACCTCAGGCGTTATTTCATACAGTCTAACTAACGTCTTGTGTTCACCAGTTTGCTTTGCTAATATTGCTGCTGACCAATACATTTTACTAATATTGCTGCTGACCAATACATTTTACTAATGTTGCTGCTGACTAATGCATTTTTTTCCCTCTAGAGCAGCCACCAGACTTCCTACTCTACCTCAGTCAGGAGTAACTGTTATATTTTTTCACATAGTCTGACTAATGTCTTGTGTTCACCGGTTTGCTTTGCTAACATCGCTGCTGACTGATGCATTTTACTAACCAAACAGATTCTTTACCAGGGTTCTTAATGTCAGGCCACGAAGTCTTAAAAAGCAAAGAGTGAAAACAGACATTCTACCTTTTAGTCATCTTGACTCTTTTTGAAGTGAGAATAGACTTTCCATTTTTGATTTACTAATTAATAGGTAGATTTTCTGAAAGTTTATAGCAAAAATTCAGTATCAGACTGACAGTTTGCTTTTGAGAACTACATGAACCCATGGCCAAATCCTCCCCTAAATGTGTGGTGTGCTCACTAACAACAGTTATAACCTGAACACTAGAGCAGTGATCATGCTGTCTGGACAGCATGACTGCTGTAGTGTTGCTGTTCTCTTTGTTACTGTGTTTTTCTTCCTGTGTTTATTGTTCTTGCTGAATGACTACATCTTGCCCCATGTAAGTCACTACTGCTGAAATACAGTTCTTTAAATTTTATATGATTTTATGTGTTGACAACATATTGTGTGGCAAGAGGAGTTGATATTCATTGGCCCACAAGTAGTTAAACACAGCTTTGTCTATTCCCATCTACTGTAGATCCTACAACTTGTTGGTTTTATGTACGTTGTTGCAAACCTTTGTATAATGTATGTACAAGTATGTATGGACAGCACAAACTATGCCAGATACCTACTTTGGTCCTTTTTGACAGTTTTGTTAAAAAACTTTGATGCGATTCTTCCTCCTTAATACTCTAGGCTTGTTGAAGCTCTGTAGCTTTCAGTGTAACAGTTGTTCCAGCCTAAACACAAGCACCAGAACATTGGAATGGTTGGATTTGTTTCCAACAAGAGAAGTGTGCAAAATAAAAAAACATGAGATAAAAAAGCCTGGTCTTGCACTCATGACTCTTCTTCTGTATCTGTATACTATTATTTTTTAAGCCGGTATAACTGCCCTTCGGTGTAACACACCAGCTCCTGTATCTGTACAGCCGGTATAACGCAGCCCCTTGGCACACCAGCTTTTTCCTAAAGATACATTTAATTTTAATTTTTTTCCTTTCCCCATTTTTCAGGAGACAAGACGCTGACGATTGTTCTCCTGGTCCTGTTCCTGTTCATCTTCCCTGCAACTGGCATCAGCATCTTCCTCTGCTGGTTCTGCAGGGACAAGATCAGGGCCAAGCTGCAGAACTACAAGGGCAAGAAGTACAAGTATGGACTGCACCATTATATTGCTTATCAGAAATGTTTGTTCAGGAATAGTGTCTAAAAACAGTGACATAATGTACTATTTTGGTAAGCTGGAAAACTACAAGGGCAAGAAGTACAGATGGCACCATTTCTGAGCAGGATTCCAGATAGACATTCTGCAGATTATGGCTTAATTGTTTTCTGAATTTTCACAAGTGTTGCTTGTTAATCAATTATGATTGTGAGTTTTAAAGATTGGGTCTAGGGACATCAGCCAAGGATGGTTAAGGTCAAGGTTAAGTTCTATTTAAGGAATTTTGTTCAACACAAGATTCAAGGGAAAAATGTATAACAATTACAGTCTTTTACATGTCCAAATATTATTTTCATCCCTAGGGAAACAGCCTCCGGAGACAGCGCACCCCGACCGAGCGTCAAGTTCAACAACAGGAGGGCGAACATCGTACCTCCCACACAGACGTACACGATCCCCACCGCACCTCCCAACCGTCCCCCTCCCCCGCGGGCCTCCATACCCAAACAGGGCAAAGGTCAGGTCACGAAAGGTCAGGTCTTGCACACGCCCAAGTCCGACACCTCCTGGTTGAGACCGTCTCTCCACCCCGTGAAACCGCCGGGTAAAAACACGGGCCCGCCGGCCAGCCGACCTCCACCCCCGAAGGGTCCGGTGTCACGACCCCCGCCTCCAGGTCAAGGGTCACGACCTCCACCCCCAACGTCCAAACCTCCAGGTCAGGTGTCAAGACCTCCGCCCCCGTCATCCAAGCCCCCGGTTCAAGGGTCACGACCTCCCCAGCCGGCACCACCCCCTCCAGGTCAAGGGTTGCGACCCCCACAACCGGCCCCGCCACCACCCACGACATCTTTACCCCTCGTCCCCAAACTTCCCTCGACAGCGATACCGCCTGGCGCCAGGCCGCCGCCGCCCAGGCAAGCCCCGCCACCGAAACCCGCAGCAGACAAGCCGCAGGTCCCGAGCAAACCCGGTGTGCCGTCCAGACCCATCTACTTGAAGGCAACACCAGATGTGGCCGTCTCCGGTCCGAAAAAACTGGCGAACAGGTGGCCACCGCCTGCTGATGAGGACTCAACAGCATAACTTACAGTGTTTAAGTGTATGTGTGTGTGTTTACCAGGACAAGTGTTCTGTGTTAAACTTTCTACATGTACTACATGTACCAAACTTTCTAGTAGTACAGTCATGTTATGCTGAGGTTACAATTCCCACACGGGGCCTGGTCGGGCAGTTTTTGGGAGCGAAGAGTAAGATACAAAAGATAAAAAAATTTTTGATGATAATTATGGGCAATATTTCTGTATATTCTTGATATAAATTGTTAATTTTTTGTTGTTACAAACAGCTAGGCTGGGCCCCGGTTTGGAAATGTGACCTAAGCATTAGCAACCCTGAATAGATAAGGAATTCAGTGATTTGTGAATCTTCTCACACCTGAATATCTTGCAATGTTGTATAATGAAAATTTAAAATTGTACAGTCTGTGTCTTTTTAACACAAAGGTGGAGAAAATGTTTTCATGTGGTGCAATCAGTGGTCCATAGAAATTCTGGCTCTTGTGGATTGTAAAGATCAGTAAATAACAGATACAAGTTGTACAATATGTGTGACTGTACATGTACATGTATGTTGGCTATAATGAAAATCATTGTGAACAAACCTCATAGTATTTTACGACACAATCTACATGTCTCCAATCGGTAGAAATCACAAGGCTGTATATTTTACATCATAAACAACAAAATGGGAAATATCTTTTATTGCCTATTGTAATCATATGAAATGCTATGGCAGCGTGTGTTTTGATTGTATCAACAAGTACTATATATAATAGTAGCCGGATTATGTTTAATCTGTTCTGTACGTAGCCTGTCATGGCTACCTGTGTTCTGACCACACTGCCCAGAATGTCAGATAAACCTCAATATGTTCACTCATCAGGGCTCGAAATTCATTTTTGGGAATACATTGTAGGTGCACTGGTGCACACAAACTAAAAAATCGGGAGCTGCCATCAAGCCCCAGATGTATAGTGCAAGCATGTCTAACCCTCAAAAGACGGGGAACAACAGACGATAAACCAGACAGTGAGTGAGTGTGAGTGCACCACATAGAATAATCTTAAACAAGAAAGATTTTATTATCTTTCTGACACTTACATGTCAAGAATATGCTGTACTATTACTATATATATATACATTTGATATCTTTATATACATAAACCAACGAAATATTTGGGTGCACCGGTGCATTCACAGAAAAATATTGGGTGCACAGCTCCAATTTTGGGTGCACTAAGGTGTACATTCACCCAGTATTTGTATTTCGAGCCCTGCTTACTCTGGCTGCATTTGTCTGGCTGATTCAATTTCCACAGCTGCTACGAAAACAAGGTTGTAACATTTTTCACTACTTTTCTGGTATACTCATGTTTTAACAGTAAGATATGATCTGGTGTAAATATGTGGGTTCTGTAACTGTTACAGTTGTTTTCTTTACATTATATTAATTTTGTATTTACAATTCTAGATGGAAACTTCTATTTAGGAATGAAAGGATTTAAACAAGGGCCACTGACAATATTAATTTGAATGTAAAGAAAAATTTTATCCAAACTGAGGTGAAAAAGCAAAATATGTAAAGTTTACATGTAGTTACTGTACACTTTTTTTTACAGAAGAGATTTGTAGGAATTTTTCAGTTTACCAGTAGCCAGATTTTCTTAACTCAGCTTTCTGGAATTTCCAGTCAGTATCTTCATCCCTTCTGAAATGTTTTGCTGCTTTAGGAGTTATGTCCAAATTATGTAAAAGATTATAATACTTAATAGTCATGCTTTTGAATATTATGAATGTTGAATGCAATTGTATATTTTATGAATGTTTGGAAGTTATGTTGCATTGCATGTTATTTTCTTGTAACTATTCTCTTTTTTGTGGAAATTTAACCAGGATTTGCAATTTGTAGAAGCTAAATTGTAACTTCTTAAATGTTTTTTTCTATTTTCCAGTATCTTTGAATACTAAACTGGAATTATACTGTTTCTATACAAATGTGAAGATTTTATAAAGAAAGACCAACTTGTACAAAACTGTATCAATATGCCTGATGCAATTTGATAATGACAATCAGTAATTGTGGAAAACTTGTAAATTTTTCTCAAATTTGTACATTATACGAAGAGGAAGACTCTGTGTTTTGTATAACTAACAGGTAACAACATGTCGTGATTGTGAATGTGCAAAGGTAGCTGAAAATTGCATGGTAATGGCTATGGTACATATATATTATGTATTAATGCGTGTAGGGTCTTTCGCTAGTGACCATACTACATGTAGATGTATAGCTGGTGAAGTGAACTGGCAAGAAATGGTTTTAAGTGTTTAAATGAGAAAAGGTATGCCCAAATGATGATCTTGAATTTGACTATGGAACACATAATTATGCATTATGGAAAAAAAAGCCTGCAAAATGAGGAGTAATATGTCAAAATGTTTTTTTAATAGTAGTTTCATAAATTGTCAAATTGCAAAATGCATTTTTCCATGTGTAATCAGGGACTGTTACATGTACAGTATCTATGATTATGTGTGGCATCCTTGCTACATTGTACTGTGTACATGTCTTGGTAGTTTAAGCCCTGTCGCACATTCATGATCTTCCACCAAAGTTGTTCCCCAACACCCGGTGAGCTGAACAGGTTCGACTGACGTTTGGGAGCAGTCTGACCAGATTTAGGCCACACCTACCTTTGTATATGAATCAAAACGAATTTGAGTCAAATTTTTGACCCCAAATTGCTGACTTACTCCCAAATGGTTGGCTGGTGTTCTGCTGACTTACAGCCATTGTCAAACCTCCCGACCAACCCCCTAATGTTTTTAACATTTTGAAACATTCGACTAGTACAGCCAATTAGTAGCCAAATTCCCTGAACATCAGCCATCCCAGCCAACTTTGTACCAACCTTCTCCTAACCATGGTTGTGGAGGGTTCGGCTATTGTTTTGGAGGCCAAATTCCTGAATGCGTGACAGGAGTTTTAGTCAGAAGCAGCTGTGAGATTGTGAATTACTATATTATATTAAAACATGCTGCTGATACTGGATAAAACCTGAGATGGTTTAGTGCCTTCTAGTGGACATTTTTAACACTTCAGATATATGCAAATTACAACATGTAATAAAGAACATGGTCCATGTATCTCTTACCTGGGTTTGGTTTGGTGCATCCTTGTATGAAATAGTATGTTAAGATGAAGTGATTGGCTGAAATGTGGATCGAGATGACACCTACACTGTACATGTATATCCTGGAATCTTGTCTTGAGTGTGTTAGCTTTAGTCCACTCCCAAATCGGACAAAACAGGATTCCAGGCTAGGTGTCAGTTCAGAAGTGTGGATGGAAAAAAACAAAATTTTATATACTATTAGGCTATATGGTGATAGCGTTGATGACCCGCCTGTTTCTCGGTGTATATGGTCTCATATATATATATATATGTTAGTTAAATTATTCAATCAGATTCTGTCAAAAGGAAACTTCCCCAAAGAATGGTCGAAAAGTTATATTGTTCCCATTTTTAAATCGGGTAGAAAGGACGAAGTGAACAACTATCGTGGAATATCGATATCTAGCTGCCTGGGCAAATTATTTACATCAGTGTTAAACAGAAGAATATCGACATTCCTAGAAGAGAACAAACTCATCAAACCAAACCAAACGGGCTTCCGGAAAAACTACAGAACTTCAGACAACATTTTCATACTTAAAACATTAATCTCAAAATATAGTCAATCGGGAAAACGTTTGTACGCTTGCTTTGTAGATCTCTCCAAAGCTTTTGATTCAATTTGGCACGAAGGTTTATTTTTCAAACTTCTATCTAAAGGCATATCCGGCAAATGTTTTAGTATCATCCAAAGTCTTTATAACCAATCCGAAGCACGCGTTAAAACTATTGGCGGTTTAACAGAGAGCTTCCCTGTCCAGATTGGTGTCCGTCAAGGCTGCGTGTTGAGTCCAACTTTATTCAACCTCTATATCAGTGACCTTGTTAACGACTTAAATATGGCAGACATTAACGCACCGCTATTACACCACTCAAAAGTAACAAGTTTGCTATATGCCGATGACATTGTCTTGCTGTCCGAAAGTCAACAAGGCCTGCAAAATGCAATAGACACGCTTGGTAGATACTGCCAAAAGTGGACACTAACTGTCAACCTAAATAAAACAAAGATTATTATATTTAATAAGAAAGGACACACCTTTTCAAAACTTAGCTTTAAATTATTCTCCAAAGACATAGAAGTAGTTTCGTCTTATTCTTACTTAGGTGTAGTCTTTACAGCTGGATGTAACTTTAACACAGCGATGAAATTACTACAAAAGAAGGCCTTACGGGCGTTGTTCAGTATTAAATGTACTCTAGGAGACACTAGGGCGCCTATATCAGTTTACTGTAAGCTTTTTGATCAGTGTGTTGTCCCTATATTACTGTACGGGGCGGACGTGTGGTGCAACAGCAGATTAAATGATAACTCGCCGCTTGAACAAACACACTTAAAATTCTGTAAACAAATTCTAGGATTAAGAAGAAACGACTAGTAACTATGCCAAGTAGAGCTGAACTTGGCCGCTTCCCCTATGGATTGAAGCGTATTGTAGAATGTACAGTTATTATTATAGATTAGTTAGAAATGTTCCCGTTGAAAGTCTTCAGTATGAAGCTTACATAATACAAAAAGACCTTGTTAGAAGTAAAGTACCCTGTTGGTTGTTGAACATGAAGACAATTTTAGAGGAGTCCGGCTATGCCTGCCTATATACACATGACTATATTAACAAACCATTCCATCTGCATGAACTAAGACAAAGATTAAAAGATATATTCATCCAGAAATTCAACTCAGCACTACAAGCACAAGGACAAAGGAAAAATCAAGGCAACAAACTGAGAACATACAAAACATTCAAAGTACTATACGACAGAGAACCATATTTAGACATCCCAAATTTTGAAAACCGCAGAGCCATGTGTAAACTCCGTATTAGCGACCACCCTCTACACATAGAATCTGGCAGGCATAGCCGTACACCGTTACAAGATAGACTGTGTACATTCTGTAACAATTCGTGTATTGAAGATGAATCGCATTTTATGCTTGACTGTAAATTATATGATAACGAACGTAAATCACTGTTCAGTTCAATTAAGCTCGACAAAAAATGTAAAACATTATCAAAGGAAGACACCTTTAAATATATTATATCATGTACAAATATAGACGTCATCAATGAAGTATGTAAGTATATTTCAAAATGTTTCAAAAAGAGAGAAGAAGCCATTAGAACTTAGATCAATACCACTTATATTTATATTTCTTTTTATCTTATTTTTAGCATTGTATACCTTAGACCTAATGTTAGCCTTTTATATTACTATTGTTTTAGTAATCTCTAGTACATTGTACATCCATGCATTTATCCCTCCGGGGAATGAACATGCAATAAAGTTTCATTATAAAGGCCTGGTCATGTCCAATAACTACCTCTTAAACAGCCTTGTTCACTGCGCTCACCCGGTGGTTCAATTGGTGGTTATAGGAAATATGAGGCCTTATGACACCATTATACACCTCAGGGTGGTCATTAGCCTTTGATTAATGAAGTTAGACACTGGTATAAACAATGTGATAATGTTTGTTTATTACTCTTTACAAAGTCCGAGTGTAGGCTGAGCACAAAAACATTTGGTTCAAGGTCCAAGTCTTACGCAACATGTAAATTCAACAAGATGAATGATTAGCAAATGTATTGATTAGCTTAGTTTGTAGTTCATTCTTTCTCCAGCCTTTTTTGTTAGTTTTTACTGAATGTAGGACACATTTTGAGAGTCTAAATTAAATTGAGAAGGAAAATTAATAGCAATTTGGTTGGGTTGATGCTTAAAATTTGAATGCAGGAACTACTTTTTACCTACTCAGGCAGGTTTCTGCTGCGGATGGATACAAAAGTCAAGTGGGGGCGGTCAAGTGTGACTTCCTGGTTACAGGTGCAAACACAGGTACTGGAAGGTGGCCATTGTTGCCAGGGGCTGTTTACTGTGAAACAGCCAGCAGTCTTCTATTCATAAAGTGACATTCTGGTGAGTTTAACTTTTAATGGTTTTCCTTGCATTGTGCGGCCTGTTCATTGAAGTAACATTAATACAACTGTTACAGTATATCATTTACTACAGTTGTGACTATATTAATCGTACGGTTTTCGTCAGAATAAAATTCTGCTTTTTGTTCCAAACTAGTTGCAGGAAGAGTGATATTCTGGCATGTCTGCAACCTTAGTTACCTTATTTTCAATGTCAACAGCCCATTTCTAACATGAAAGAAAATTCTTCAGTTTTCAGGAACAACAGCCAAGTATCTGCAAGCATGGCAACACCTGATGACCATACAGGCAGCGGTAAGACATCCTTTTTTTATTCATGAAATCTGGAGCTGCCAGTTGAACTTTGGTCCCTTTATTGTTAACGTATGTCAACAACATTGTGGGGCACTGCAAGCACTGCAAGGTTTTTTGTGTTGTATACTCTTAATACCTTCCTCCACACACAAGTTATGTAGCCTACTATATTATGTTCTGTGTTTTGTTCAACATAGCATCTTTTTGTCCATTCCACCTGTCAACCAATTTTTTCCCTTTTTATAATTGTATATAGGCTGGTTTAGGATAGGTTAGATAAGTAATAGTTACAGGTTAGGCCACACCAATTTATTTCCTTGGTTAACCGATTCGCCGCTTCGTTTTTTTGCCAAAATGAAATAAAAATAAAAACAGAACAAAAATCCATACTCTCGGGTCCGGAATAAACGTACCGGAACGTTTATTTTTTGGGGCCCAAAAATCCACCCGGTACGTTGTAATTTTTCAAAATTTGTGCATAGTTAACAGCATTTAAAATACATTGCTTCAAGGCAGAAACATTTTTCTGACTGCAATTTGTTCGGAAAGCTAGGTTGCCTCTTCAAAAGTTCGTCAAATTCTTTTGATATAGAACTCGCCCCCCACCCCCTTTGCACATGTCACCATTCATGGGACAAAACTTCACTGACGACAAACGTACGGCAGATTTACTAAGTCATTGTACCTGTAACAACATATCATCTCCCTTTTAGATATATATAGTATATTTAGGAACACGTATTGTGTCGGAAACATGTGCTAGTAACGGGCGTTAGAAATTATCGGCCGAACGTAACTCGGCCTGGGCAGCACATGCACACACACCTTCAAAACAATCTTTTTTCCAGGGAATATGTAAAAATAACACGACATAACAATGTATTCTGGCATCACAAGCTGTATTACTCTCAAAAAGTACAAAATCCTACCACAAACATGGGAATTTGGCAAAGTAAAAAGTCCTCCATGCACGTATACGTAAGTCCATTCACTAATGCAACTTTTTCTCACGGTCGGAAGAGTCCACTTTGAGTAGGGGGAAACAGGTCCTTTTAATTATAGAAATTACTCTGTGAAAAATACTACATGTGCATGTGGCATTCTAACAAAGTTACATCTTATTTACATACCTATAAACAGGAGTACAATTGCAAATAATGCATCAATTATTACATCTAAATTTTTGATTAAAATGGTTCCCCCTACAAATAAGAAATCCCCATACATCAAACACTTTATAGTGAAACCCTAGACCATTGAATTTGTGGCAACTTGAAGAGTGTGTCAATGTGGCTATTTGTTTGAATGATGGCTATGTATAATGTAGCTGTAGCATACCTAAAGTGTATGACGGGACATATAAAATGGATACTACCGGTTAAGTATTTGGGAATTGGGGAAATATAAAAAAAGAAATAAAATATCTGTTAAGGTAGTTAATTCTTTTGCCAACAACTTTTACACATTCCTGGAAATTTGTCTAAAGCATATATTTAGGATATTGTAAATTTCAAGCTCTAAATAACTTCCATATCAGCCAGACACAATAGAATGCCCAGTGGTAAGCTGTGTACCCTGAACTCTACGAAAACAATGGGATCTGAACAGAGCACCCTGATTTAAACCATGCACTCTTTGGAACTTTGAAAGATGAAGAAAAGTGAAACCAATTGGATCGGAGTCTTGTCAACTGACAGTTTGTTGTTCACACAGTAAAGATGTGTATCTTCCAAAATAATACGAATAATTGTAAAGGGATGTAAGAGAAGTTGCTCATGTAGTAATGGTCCCTTCAGTTCAATAAGTGTCCAATATAATGTCTTATATCATTTTGTAACTTAACTTAATGGATTGCTTACTACATGGCTGTATGGCAGGTAGTCTCAAATTTTTATTTTTATTTTTTTTCGCCCGCCCGCTCCATTTTTTTTCTAGAAAAATCCGTTAACCAAGAAATTAAATTGGTGTGGCCTTATTAAAGTATTCTGAGTGTTATGATAAGTGTACATATGTCTAATGTGCTAGTAAGTTTAACTTAGTAATTTTGTATTTCTAACTTCTACGAATCCAGGAAGAATAGTGCAGTATATGTATATTATGGAGATCCATGAAACAAATACCAAATTCTCAATATTATATTAACGTTCATTTCATCTTCATTTGCAGGTGTTCATGAGCATTTCTTTTTCGTCAAGGACAGGGTCAGCTCAAGTTGGAAAGACCTGGCCTTCCATCTTAAATTTAGTCAGGCAGACATTGATAACATTGCCGGTAAAAACAAAGATGACAAGTCGTGCTGTATGGATCTGTTGGAGGAATGGCTAAAGCGAAATGGGGAGAGAGCTGCTGTAGAGGTCCTGATCAAGGGTTTGTCAGAGGCAAACTTACAGAGTACTGCAGATGCTTTGAAGAACAAAAATCCTGGTAAGAATTTTCTTATCCAAATCACTGGGTTGCAGAATAATTGATCGTGAATGAATGAATGAATGAATGAATGAATGAATGAATGAATGAATGAATGAATGAATGAATGAATGAATGAATGAATGAATGAATGAATGAATGAATGAATGAATGAATGAATGAACGAACGAACGAACGAACGAACGAACGAACGAACGAACGAACGAACGAATGTATGAATGAATGTATGAATGAATGAATGAAGGCAAATGCTGACTGACTTGTAAATTCTTTTCATATACTGTAATGTATGTGGCAATATAGATTATGTTGATGACATGTCAGGGAGAGATGCTTGTATCCCTTTAATTACAATGTACATAACATTGACAATTTGGAATTCATATTTGTCACAAATGTACTCTAAGACTTGCATTTCAATTTGCATTTGCAGAAATAGCTGCACAGACACAGCCACCAGGTAATTATGATTAATGAATGAATTTAGACCTTTATTTGTGCTCTTACAGGCTAAATACAGGTTATGAATAAAGTGGAAGCAACAAAATTATGGCAATACATTATCAAAACTATATATATACTTATGTTAGCTTCTATGTGCATGTTCGACTTCTTCTCACTTCTTAAAACAATTCTAGATAAATGAGCATATGGTGCTTATGATATACAATGTATGGCTTATCTAGTTGCATAAGGAATAAGAATTTTTCTGTTCTCTCTGAATGTCTGAAGCTATGGAACTTATCTTGTATACAAGTATAGAGGGTATCCCTCTCATTTCTATGTAAATCAGATTCAATAAAAAAAATAATACTCGTCTTCAGTTGTACCCAAATTACAATGTTGGCAAATTCTTTGCTGCAGCAGAAAGGCATTTCAGTTTTTCTGTTTTGTCCAAGCCAGTATAACCGTCCCTGATTACATCTTACAGCAAACATCAAGGCTCCAGATGGACTAAAGGCAGTGGAGATTGGGAACTCATTGACAAGTGTAACGTTACAGTGGAACCCAGTTGATTCAAATCAGCTTTTCGGCTATCGCCTGGAACGTTCCATTGCGTTTAAACAGGTGTGGCGCTCGACACATGCCTCACTGCCTGTATTACCTGTAAACCGGACCGAGCAGGAAGTAGGAGGCCTGAAACCCTACACAATGTACCATTTTCGTGTGAAATCTGCGATCGACGAACGGGGAAGTCTGCGCTTTGGGGATGGATCTGAGCTGGCATATGTTCTGACAAAGAAGCAACGTTTGTATTAAATTAACATGTTTTTAGAATTGAAATCAATACAGAATACACATGACATTGTATGTTTTAGAATATATTTTGTAGATTAGCAGTCTAAAAGTATTGTAACCTATCACACTATACAAAATAAATTTTGGAATTAATCCATAATATAACTTACTGGTTTTCACTTAGGTTACAAGGTACAAATGTAGTCATGTGAGAATTACACTATCACTGAGACTATAATCAGAATCTGTAACATCAGAACTGTCAGATGTCACAGCAGTCACATCTTCTATTTTTTTCATAACACCGCTTCAAACTTTCTGACTGTATACTTGATTTTATATGCTCTACAGATCAACCACATCCACCAGGATACGTCAGGGTGACAGATGTCAAACAGACGTCTGTATCCCTCACATGGACAAAACCTTTACCAGCTGATGATGTCGAACTCGAATCCTACGAGTATGTCGTAGAGATGTCCGACTATAGTGAGGACAGAATCCTGAATGCATGGACAGAATGCTGCACAACCATTCAACGGGAGTGTACGATTAAGGTTGAGCACAACGGAACCTACCGCTTTCGTGTAACAGCAATCAACAAGGAAAAGGCTGTAAGCAGCCTTCCAGAGGATATGGGTAGGAAATTTTCATCAACAAATTCAAGACTCGTCATAGTAATATATTTCATGTTGATCTCAGAATAATTGTTTGATTGAAAAAAAAAACTAAGACACATCAATACTAATAATAGTAGTAAGTAAATATGCCTGAGTGTCAAGAATATGTGAACAGGTGTGTAAAGTTTTGGTTAAGGTCAATGATGAGCGCCCACAACATGCGTGTTTACTCGGTTTGTAGTGAGGAAATCCACGGGCGTGCAAGGTCAGCGCAGCGCGAAGACATACACGCGTGCGAACTCAGCGCTGCCTGAGGAACGGCACGCGTGCAAACAATTGCAGAAGTGAGTATTAGCACGCGTGCAGACCGACGTGAATTGAGTAAGCTCACGTCGTGCAAACCCTCATATTCGGGTCCCAGTATATACCTGCAATGATATATTTATCTAGCACATTACCTGTTTCAGAGGACCCAGAGATACGTATCCATGTCGAGACAGGATCAGGATGGCTGGAATGGTTTAAAGCACGGTGGCCTTTTCCTGGCAGACACAAACGACAGGAGCCAGGAAGCATTGTCTTTGTCATCTCATGTCATGACCTGCACTGTTTGCGGGAACTGTGGATGTGCTACACCTTGGGGAAAGTAAAGATGTTCTTTGAGCATTTATTTGCCCAACAGGCCGCCCTTGCCTCTGTAGATGCAGACACCGATCTCCAGATCAACATAGATGAAGAGGATTTCTACGCCTGCCGCAGACATCTTCTGTTGACCAGCTCTACCAACAAAGGATTGCGAGTTGTGAGACCAGGAGCTGGTCACTCCAGAGGTAAGTATAGTCAGCTGGAAATGAGGCATGAGAATGAGACAGGATGCCTGATTATTGTATAACGGAATTAAATTTTTATTTTTTAGAATTTGGTCACAAATCAGTCAACTTTGGAACTGTTAAAAATTAAGCAGATTGCTAGCTTGCTTTCACAACAATGTACAAGATGCATGTTATGTAAATGTGGACTTAATTTGCATGATTAATGAGGCATTTATTGATGCCAAAACGTGTAATTCCTTATAATAATAATAATACTAGTATTAACGTAGTAAATGAGAATTGCATGATGTATATCTGTATACATGTAACTTAGTTGAAAGTTAACGTCATCACAAATAGAATTAAAAAGTCATTTGCACAACTATGATGACATGATGACATATTGAAACATAAAATTTACATGCGAGAGTTAACAAAAACTCTAAATATCATATAATTGTGAGGTCTTTGATCTATTGTATTGTTACAGTAGTTTTCACACAAGGAAATTCAATTAATAACATAAAATATTAAATTAATAACATTACCCTACCGTATTCAATGACTGTTACAGTTGGTATATGTTACTTTTATTTTTACTTCCACCATCAACAGGCACACTGCTAGGCCTAAGTGAGGATTACCCAGTCTACTGCATGCCGATATCTCACAGGACAACCTGCGCCCAGCTGGACTACTTGGACCCATCAATGCCCACCATGCCTACAGCAGGTATTATAGGTGGTATTATCAATGCTTTATTCATATTCAAGTTGTAGTGCTTAAGGCAAAATTCAGGTGGACCTATACTTTACCAGTATTGCATAATGCCAAGAGGGAAACCTTATAAGTTACAATCCAAAAGTCATGTATTTATTTTCAGTGATTCAGAAGCAGCTGTTAAAAAAATGGTACACGTATGATAGCAGATTTACAAGAAAAAGTTGCATCTTGTTCATCTAAGAAGTGTATTTTGCTGAGACATGGAAATTCATTGCCTACATGTACCATAATGTTGCTGATAATTCTCCAATGTTTGGCTGATGGAATAAGTTTGCTCCTAGCTTTAGTCTGCTCTCCAAACAGTTTTTAGGTACTAGACAAGCTTTTCGTAGTCTTTGCATGTTTGTTTACCAGGTATCTTTAAAAACAAGCTGAATACCATAAGAGTTTTAAATGATAAACAGTATATAAGTCAAATCTCAAAATCTCATGACTTTTTTGCTCATTTGTTGCAGTAGCCGAGAACAAGGTAGTAAAGACACAACTGCCAGAAGAGGATAGACCTGCTAGGATAACTGCAGCTGTGAAACCTGGTAAGGTTGTTGCATGCATGACAGTCTACATGTGATGCTTCTTGAACAGTTGCAAATGCCTAAAATCAATTTTTCCCTAGCTTACAAATTTAAAACAAAGAAAAAAGGGTAACTAAATGACCAATAATTTATAGTTTACTGACTGGGCTTGGGAGGAAAACTTTTATTGTCATCCTCTTTTCAGTAATTCATACATGTTCTTTTGTCTTATCAGACTCTAAAATAGATTGATGGCCTGATCAAGAGATAGAGGTAAACACTGACTTCATCATTTCTGATAAACACTGACTTCATCATTTCTGATAAACAGGACTGGACCGCGCCATTTCTGCTGACAGCATGCTGACCCTGCTACGTGCAGTGAAACTTGTGGATCACAGCCTGATGGAAGCCCTAGACCTGGCAAACCAGTCCTACACAGATGGAGCTGATGACAGCTCAACACTGCACCTCACAGCCAGGGAAGTACAAATGGCTCTGCAAACTGTTAGAGAGAAATCACAACATCAGATGGCAGCTGTTAGAGAGAAATTACAACATCAGATGGCAGCTGTCAGAGAGAAATCACAACATCAGATGGCAGTTCAGCGTATTAATAAGAATGTATTGAGAGAGCAGCAAATACAAATCGACATTCTACGCAAACAGGTAATGAGACTGAGACAGGAGAAAGAGAATGCAGAGAAAATCACTCAGGATGTGAAGTTTGAAACTGGTGTGAAACTTGAAGAACTGACAGCTGAGAACACAAAAATGACCAAACAGCTAGCAAATGTTTCTCAACTTCATGAGGAAGTAAGAGGGCTTAGAGAGAAATATGAGACATCACAGAGAGATTTGTCAAAGAAGGAAATAGAAATCCAGCAGCTACAAGAAGCCAACAACAGCAATGAAGAAATAATTGAAAGAATGCGTGCACAGGATCCAATGCACACTGCCAGACAGCAGACAGAAGCCCTGCTGCACAGTCTACGCGAGGAGCTAACCAGACTGACACAGAAGGAAGAGGAAGATCAGAAAACCCTGCTAAAACAGAAGGAAGAAATACAGAAGCTGCAGAAGGCTAACATCAACTTGGAAGAAATAATAGAAATGATGTCTGCCAAGAAACCAGTGGAGAGTAAATGGGAGGACTATGTGATGAAGGACACCAGAGGGAAAACAGACCAATTTTTGCAGGGCAAGGAGACAGACCCAGGCCAGGGGACAGACCCAGGCCAGGGGACAGACCCAGGCCAGGGGACAGACCCAGGCAAGGGGGCAGACACAGGCAAGGGGACAGACCCAGGCCAGGGGACAGACCCAGGCCAGGGGACAGACCCAGGCAAGGGGACAGACCCAGGCAAGGGGGCAGACACAGACAAGGGGACAGACCCAGGCAAGGGGACAGACCCAGGCAAGGGGACAGACCCAGGCAAGGGGACAGACCCAGGCAAGGAGACAGACCCAGGCAAGGAGACAGACCCAGGTAAGGGCACAGACCCAGGCTGGGGAACAGACCTAGGAAATGAGAGATCAAACAAAAACAAGACAAGTGAGGAAACCTGAGCAAAGAGGGCACAATTTACATTCCATGTAAGAAATGACAATGAATTTTAAATTTTCTGATTATCACAGATATATCTTCAAAGATCAATATATTTATCTATGCCATTTATGTCTGTGATGATGTACTGTTCCAGGTGTAATTGTACATAGTTATGTGCAAGGGGACAGACCCAGGCACATAGTTATGTGAAATTAATTGATGGTTAACTCCTTCAAAACTGGAGGTATTGATTTGGGTCTATTAGTGTGTTTACATATTTGTGCATGGGTGGGCTGTTTTTTTTTTGGTTGGTAGCAGGTGGTACTGTGCTGGCAACACAAGCAAGACTTAGAGTCTGTTCCCACAACTGTTCCCACAACTTTAAGATAGCATAATCTATTATCATTATGTAGGACTTGAAGTGGTAATGTTAATCATTTGTGGCTTGTATTTTTGCCCATGTATTCCTTATGTAATTCAGTTTTTCTGTATTGTCCAAGCCAGTATAACCATCCCTGATGTTGACAGAGACTTCAATTCTACTGAAGAGTCTCTACCCTGGCATATGTACAATCATGTATGATTCACTAAAATGTATTAAACTCAGTCTGATACCGGGTCATCTTTTTTCTGACACAAGTCTCAAGGCCCTGCTGGTTGTGAAGGACACCATTCCTGGTCAATCTGTTATGATTACAGGTACTGGAGCATTAATTTCAACTGTTACAAATCCAGTGACAGTGTTCATTGGTACCAAATTCTTAATAATATTCATTTCATCTTTGTTGCAGGTATTCGTGAACATTTCTTTTTCGTAAAGGAAAGCGTTGGCTCAGGCTGGAAAGACCTGGCCTTCCATCTTGATTTTACTAAAACAGACATCGATAACATTGCCAGTAGAAACAAAGATGACAAGTCTTGCTGTATGGACCTGTTGGAGAAATGGCTAAAGAGAAACGGGGAGAGAGCTACAGTAGAGGCCCTGATCAAGGGTTTGTCTGAGGCAAACTTATGGACCACTGTGGATGCTTTGAAGAACAGAAATCCTGGTAAGAACTGTTGGGGAATGAATGAATGAATGAATGTCATTGAATGAATGAATGAATGAATGAATGTCATTGAATGAATGTCATTGAATGAATGTCATTGAATGAATGAATGTCATTGAATGAATGAATGAATGAATGTCGAATGAATGTCATTGAATGAATGATTATGTCATTGAATGAATGTCATTGAATGAATGAATGAAAATGAAAAATGCTCACTTATTTTTTTTCATATACTGCAATGTAACATTATGTGGCAATATAAATTACTATTTTGGGATGTCAAGGAGAAATGCTTCTATCCCTTCAATTCATAACACTCGCAATTTGGAAATCAGAATCGTCTTAAGTGTCCTCTAGTATTTTAATTTGCATTTTTGCCTTTTGCAGAAACAACTGCACATACACAACCACCAGGTAATTATGATTAATCTAACTTCTTGTAACTGTATATATTATAATAAGGCCACACCAATATAATTTGTTGGTTCTCGGATTTTTTCGGAAAAAATATGAAGCGACAGGGCGAAAAAAAATAAAAATAAAAACAGGTCTAGGCATCCTATTATAGCCCCAAATGCTACAATATGAGCCAGGAAGTCAACAAAAAAGGCTGGGTTAAAATTTAAAGTATAAATTTTTAACTTTTAATCAAACCACTGTATTGATAGATGGAAAAAACTGTAACAACTGGAATTTCCTCAACTGTTGGGGGCAAAATATGAGCATTTTTTAGTTGATTCAGAACCAGAATCTTTTTTTTTTTTTTTGCAAATCAGAAAAAAATGAAGAGGCGAATCCGAGAACCAACAAATTAAATTGGTGTGGCCTAAATGCTTGGACAATATTCTGATAGTTTGGGTTTCTGGAAACAGTTGGGTGGGCTGGTGGGTCTACCTCGCAACTGGCTAGTGCAGTTTTGGGTCTCTAAAAAAAATGAATGAATAAAAATCAATCCCTCACCTGTGGGTGGGCTGTTTGGGGTTGGTGGCAGGTGGCACTGTGCTAGCAACTCATTAAGCAAGGAACAGACAGACTCTATGATAGAATGATCTACATGTAGGACTGAAGGTGACTCCAGGAGGTAATTTGTGGCTTTTTTTGTATGTTTGCCTACTGGCAATTCAGTTTTTCTATATTGCCCAAGCCAGTATAACCATGCATCTCTGATTACATCTTACAGCAAACATCAAGGCTCCAGATGGACTAAAGGCAGTGGATATCGGGAACACAAGTGTAACTTTACAGTGGAACCCAGTTGATTCAAATCAGCTTTTTGGCTATCGCCTGGAACATTCCATTGCGTTTACACGGATGTGGCACTTGACACACAACTCACTGCCTGTATTACCTGTAAACCAGACCAAGCATAAAGTAGGTGGCCTGAAACCTTACGCAGAGTACCACTTTCGTGTGAAATCAGCGATCTACGAACAGGGAAAGCTGCGCTTTGGGGATGGATCTGAACCAGCATGTGTTGTGACGAAGAAGCAATGTTCGTATTAAATTAACATGTTTTTGGAATTGGAATCAATACAGAATGTATGTTTTAAAATACTAGACAGTATATGATGTCAATACATTTTATATCAGCATTCTGCAAGTATTGTAACCTATCATACTACAATGTATCAATCATTGATGCTAAATAAAAAAAAATCAATTTTGGAATGATTTAACATTAAGTTCTAAATCTATGAAACTTACTGGTTTTAACTTAATAGGTACATGTAGTGGTGTGGGAAGTACACTGACTGTTGCTTCCCTAACTATTACTTCAGAATCTGTAACAGCACAACTGTAAAATATCACAGCAGTCACATCTTCTATTTTTTCATGCTGCTGCATCTAACTTTATGACTGTTTTATGTATCTACTATCTACAGATCAACCATATCCACCAAGATATGTCAGGGTGACAGATATCAAAGAGAATTCTGTATCCCTCACGTGGATAAAACCTTTACCAGCTGATGATGTCAAACTGGAATCCTACGAGTATGTAGTTGAGATGTGCAAGAACTATAATAAGGACAGAACCATGAATGCATGGACAGAATGCTGCACAACAACTCAGCAGGAGTGTTCAATCAAGGTTGAGCACAACGGAACCTACCGCTTTCGTGTAACAGCAATCAACAAGGAAAAGGCTGTAAGCAGCCTTCCAGAGTATATGGGTAGGAAACTTTCATCAACGAACTCAAGATCCTCATAATAATTCATCTCGTTCTCAGAATCTTTGTTTGATTGAAAAACCTAAGACAAATGAAAACGTTGTTAAGTAAATATGCCTTTGTTAAGTAAATATGAGTGTCAGAATATGTTAACTGGTATGTAACGGGGGAGTCTGCCCTAACTTGGCACTTTTTTTACTGCCCTTATTATGCATTTCTGATCAATAATTGTAAGGTTATCAACAGGAAGGTCAGAAAAGTCAATTGCTGTTTCTCATCAGGCAGCATTGCAATCTTGTCAGGCTAACAACATTATGTCACGTTCAGGTAGCATGTTGTAGTACATTTGTAGTTTGTGCTCCTGTGTGCAACTTACAGTTAATGTTGCAATATTGTTTGCATGGGGGCACACCTTGGAAGACAACAAAGTTTTGGGTATGACTAGGTCATTGATGATAGAGTGACATATTCATCTAGCACGTTATCTGTTTCAGGGGACCCAGAGACACGCATCAATATTGAGACATGGTTGCATGTAGGTAAGGGTACAGACCCAGGTAAGGGTACAGACCCAGGTAAGGGTACAGACCCAGGTAAGGGTACAGACCCAGGTAAGGGGACAGACCCAGGCAAGGAGACAGACCCAGGTAAGGGGACAGACACAGGTAAGGGTACAGACCCAGGCAAGGGTACAGACCCAGGTAAGGGGACAGACCCAGGTAAGGGGACAGACCCAGGCAAGGAGACAGACCCAGGTAAGGGTACAGACCCAGGTAAGGGGACAGACCCAGGTAAGGGTACAGACCCAGGCAAGGGTACAGACCCAGGTAAGGGGACAGACCTGGGGAATGAAAGATCAAACAAAAACAAGACAAAAATAAAAACACGAGCAAAGACGTGTGCATGGACACAATTTAAATTCTTTGTAAGAAATGGCAATTAGGCCACACCAATTTAATTTGTTGTTTCTCGGATTTTCCTCTTCGTTTTTTCCTGATTTGCAAAAAAAACGATTCTGGTTCTGAATCAACCGAAAATGCCCATATTTTGCCCCCCAGCAGTTGAGGAAAGTCCTTTTCTTCCTAGTTGTTACAGTTTTTCCATCTATCAATGCAGTGGTTTGATTAAGAGTTCAAAATCCATTGTTTAAACATTAACCCAGCCTTTTGTGTTGACTTCATGGCTCCTATCGTAGCATTTGGGGCTAGCATTAGCAATGGGATGCCTCGACCTGTTTTTATTGTTATTATTTTTTTTGCCCTGTCGCTTCGTATTTTTTCAGAAAAAAATCCGAGAACCAACTAAATTGGTGTGGCCTTAATTTTAAATTTTCTGATTATCACAGATATCGAATATCATAGAATAAGATATATTTTATGTATGTCATTTAATATATCTTGTGATGTACATGTACATTGTAGTGTACCATGTAGTTATGTGCAATTATTCAATGATTACCTCCTTTAAAACTGGTGTATTGATTTGGGTCTGTCAGTGTGTTTGTGATTAAAAGGTGAGGATATTATTACATATAATATTTGAAAAGAAGACAAACTTGTAACATTACCAACAGAAGCATAGATTTCCAATAAATCTGAATGAAATATGTTTGTTTTGCCAATATTCATTTATGATTTGATTTGTATAGTCTTATAAATGGGACAGTCTATGGTTATGCTACAGTGTATCACCAAGCCACATAAAGCAATGTATACTTTGCTGATTAATATTGAAAATTTACCTTCATGCCACAAGTATCTTTTCCAAGAATTGGTGTGCACTAATGAATCTTATTCTTCAGACGTTGGGAAGTACTTCCATTTCATCAAGGAAAATGTGATCACAGACTGGGGAGATTTGGCATTCCATCTTGGATTCAAATGGGCTACCATCACAAACATCGCTGGCAGAAACCCCGACGACAAGTCCCGCTGCATGGACATGCTGCAGGAATGGAAGAAGAAGAAGGGAGACGCCGCTACCATAGAGGTCCTGATGGAGGCTCTGTCAAAGGCAGAGCTGCAGAGCGTCGCGGATGGTTTGAAGAAATATCAAGTTGAAAACTATGGGTAAGTATGTATTTCTCCATGCAAGTTATTTTGTAAATGTTCAATCCTAATATTCAAACAAAATAGCAGAAACATATTTGTTTATTTGTTTATTTAAATTTTTCACAAAGTGAAAGGGAGGGCAAAACAGGTGCGAAGCACCTTTGCTAGTTGCCCTCCCACATACAAAAACAACAAGAATGTACATTACACAGTCAACAATCTATAATACAAGTAGGGCACAAAATATCATATAAACATAATCAAGGTAACAACAATGAATGGAAGAGATAACCATATCGGAACGATATCTAGTGAGGTCTTGAGGCAATACAAGAGCTACATCCACATGAAGTGGTCCAGGTACATGGCAGATCAAGACTGTATTGAGTGTTGAATCTGTTGTAGGCTACTTTTGCCAGTTTATGTTTAAATGCTATGATATCAGACTGATGAGCGGCTCGCACACCAGTACCACGGAGGTCAGAACCTAACTTATTCCAGATAGTTACAAGTCTGGGAATGTAGGAGTGACTGAACGCTGACGTCTTAGATCTGACAGGTGTAAGCATGTACGACCTAAGACTCCTCGTGGGTCTGGTGGGAAGTGTGATATATTTCTCTATGATTGCTCTTGATTTGACAAATAACATTATATCGCATACCTCACGCCTACATGTAAGTGGCAACAGCCCTGTTGTTGCTAGCCATTCCTTGTAGGTAAGGTGACTAGCCTGAGGGCCCAGAATGAATATGGTTGCCCGGCGTTGAACCCCTTCAATTAGAGAAATAAATTTACGAGAATGTGGCGACCACAATGGGGAGCAATAGTCAAGAATGCTTCTGACCAGTGTGGTGTATAGAGCTTTCTTAACATCAGTGTTAGCATTGAAACCAACAGTCCGTTTGATAAAGCCAATCATGGAATTCGTCTTGGCAACCATTTTCACTATGTGGCTGTCCCACTGTAAGTCTGGCTGTACAATAACCCCTAAATCATTCATGCTGTCAACAGACGATACAATGGAATCAAAAACACAATATGTATACAGGATTGGCCTCTTAGAACGGGTCAAACGTAACAGCTTGCATTTGGAAGGGTGAAACGACATCTTCCATTTTAAACTCCAATTGCACATGGCTGTGACATCATCCTGCAACTTGGAACAATCATTCATGTTACAAATTTCCCGAAAGCATTTGGAGTCATCTGCAAAAAGAGCAACGGAGGAGTATTCAACTGTACAGGGCAAGTCGTTTATGTATAAAAGAAAAAGAAAAGGCCCATATTTTTACCTTTTTGTTTTTGGCCTGTCTGTGTGTGAGTGTGTGTGTTTGACTGTGTTTCCGCACATTTGTAGTGGATTGTGATGATATTTGGTATGCTGGTAAGTCTTAGGAAGACGAAAGTCAAGGTCAAGTATGGGCCTCCTGGTGGATGACCTTGGTACTGCAGCAAAAGTTCCAGTTTTTGTATCTTTTGTCCTGAACAAGCTATGGTCTTCACTTTTTGGTGACAGATAGCTTATCCTGTCAGGAATAAGTGGTGTAAGTTTGGTCCCCTAGCAGCTTGTTCTGGAACTGCAGGGTAGTTTCTGGCAAAAACTTTCAAAGCCAATAATATAAGTCCAGATTGGAACAACATATTTTCATCATTTTTGGTGTGTAGGTACCTGAGCGAGAGTTGTACATAATTAAATGAAAATTATGCAAATGAGGACTTAATTTGCATAATTAATGAGGAAACTATAATTACAATGTTTTATATAATGGTACTGCTATACATGCAATCTATTTAATCTGTGGCAGGCGGAACATCAACAGATACCAATTATGCAAATGATGACCTAATTTTCAGAATTGTGAAAATTTTGGGACTCCTTATTGGTGAATGATGGGAATTTTATACCTCGTGACATGTGTAAGCTACTTAAAGGTTAGCACCACTATGCATATATTATGTTAATGTAGAGGTTATTTGCATAATTAATGAGGACATGAAGTATGACAAAGCAAGCCCATATTTCATGGAGGTATGAGATCTCAGAACTCTTGTTTTATCAAGTGAATTTGTCCACAACCACCTTATGTGCTGTGGTGTGTTTCTTTTTTTTGTGTGTGTTAAATTTTGTTGATTCATCTCTATTTTCTTGCCCACCAGGCTGAGTCCACAGGCAAGGGGACAAAAAGCTGCCCGCCGAAAAGGTAACAGATACTAGCACCCGTGTGTTTCATGTAGGTAAAAAAAATACAAATATTTTTTGACATCCATCAAGTAAATGTTTAGAATTAAAATGGCAGCAAAAGGAACTGTGAGGGATTTAAGCATATAAACTAACCACATTTAATTATTTCATTATCCATATCAGTGTCCTATGTATTAGTCCCAAAAAGATAACTTTTGTCAGCCACATCCTCACATTGCTGTGGGTTTTTCTATTAACTCATCCATTACAAGCATAGGAGATTTTGCAGAAAAGAAACCATAACAACACAGTGACTGTAACCTTTACAGATCAGTGTAAGCAGTCTTGAATGTGCAAGATCTGACAAGACCATCTTCACTCATCAGCAACGAAGATCTCCATCAACTAATTCCATGATTACCCTGGTTAAAAAGACTCTATTTCTAGTGTTAACACATATCTTTTGGCAGTTTTTGCTTCTTAAGTCTATGATAGGATTATTTTGTAGGCGTGAGCGGCTACTATGGTTGCTCAGCTGCTTTCTTGTAGCTATAGTCTGCATATGTCTTGTAACCTAGGCCTTGTAGGAAGTTAAGTAGGTTTTAATGGTGGCTGTATATTTTTGTGTTGGTTTGTTGCCTACTTTTTTTTCTGCACTTGCTGCCTCTGCAAACATTTCAATTTTTTCAGACCGTGAACTTTTGTTTCTTTGAACATAAAGTGAATTCCAATACATTGTCATGTAATGTTGACACTCCCATATGATCAACAGTCTTCAACCTTTTACTTAGCTTGTATTAAGTTACAAACCTCACATCAGAACAGAATGTTTCGTACCTAGTATAAGTTAGACTGAGACTAACTGACAGAGACAGATAGAAAGTTAGCCAGTTCACATAGTGAGTATACTTTTTATGGATACATTAAACAGGACTGCCAATAACATCAGAATAGAAGCCTTAATTACAATAATCTATACATGTATAATCCACCATGATTCCTTACTTACATGTATCATTTTTTAATAATACTAACACTCATAAAATTCCATATTCCACATATAATAAAAAAACGATTACAGACAATGTATATCAAGCTGACAAACGACAATGTACACAAAGTCTGTCACTGTGGGATCACAATTAACTCAACTCAGATTTGTATTTCTATTCCAATTTTATTTGAATAAATTTACTTTAAAGATGTGTGCAGTTCTCTTGCATTCAATGATTAGTTTCCTCAGATTGATAAGTCAGATAGGTGTACATGTACACGTGTGTTGCCATCAAAAACTTTAACATCCAAGCAGTGTTCTAGTGAGCCTGAATTTTTTTGTCAGCTTTATAATGTCACTTGACGTAACATCATGTCAAGCACCAAAAATGTGGACATCTTGACTGTCTAAAACACTATTTCCTGCATTCTGAATGGGAAATTTTGCTGGTAGGCTAAGTTTACCAGCATCTCTTTTCATATCTTTACACAGCAATGTTTGCCCAATCCATCAAAGATGTCGGATTTGGCAAAATCTTTGTCTATCATGGACAACTAAATTCTGTCAAATGACGGAAAGACGGATGCTCGCTTGAACACTGCTGTGTTGGCATCAAAACTTAATGTCCAAGAATGGGGCCCGCATGCCCTTTTCCGTAGAGCGTGATCAGCCGTTTTAATTCTACGTACATGTAGAGCATAGACGGACTGCTCTAATTCAACGTAGAGCGTAATTGGCACATTTTGCGTAGAGCATATTCGCCGTTTTAATTCTACGTAATGTGTTGTAGCCACTTGGAATTTATCTTAAAGCGTAATCGAGAGGTTTCCGAATTCAGCGTAGAGCGTTGTCTGGACCCCCCCATGCAGGCCCCCAAGTATGTGACTGTTGTTCTCCCTCCCCAAACTACAGCATGGTACTACCGACCTAGGCTTCGGCCGTGCTGTTCTCGTCTAGGTCAATAGTCACCATGTTGTAGTTTGGGTTGACTATCCCTGTGAAATCTACATGTCCGTCCTGTGTCTCAGCAGGGGCATCATCCGCTGTGTCAGTCACCTTGGTAGTGGCACTGTCCTCTGGGTCGTTCACCTGGGCAGGGGCATTGTCCTGTGGGTCATTCACCTGAGATGGCACCACCACTCCTCCATTGGTGTTGCTGTGAGTGGAGAACAGAAAATTAGGGTTGAAAGTTGGGAATACACAAACATTTCTAAAAATGCAAGATACATTTGCAGTCACATACAGTTTCCCCAAGAACTTCCTTGGTTTCACACGGGCTCAACGTCCTTCTCTCTGTAAAGCAGTGTTCACAGCACTGAGTTGGGCTAGGGTACTCTGGTTAAACATGATAGAAATATGAAATAAATGTAAAAGTGCAAAACTATAGCCTTGTTACAACCATGCCAACTGTACACCAAGGGGCCCTATAGTACATGTACATGTACAAGGCAAGAGTTAAGGTTCATTACAGCAATCACAACTGTTCTATTCTGTCATTCACGTATAGGACTGTTCAGCCATAGCCTGAAGCTGTAGGGCTGTTATCAATTAGGATTTGACCATGATGATACCAATATTGACCAAAGGAGGCCACATATATTTTGTACAACGACCCCTCACCTGGGTGAGTTTCCCCCTGGGTCCTTCCTCCACTGCCAGACCACAGGCAGCCTCAGCCTCGGCGCGTTCAGGCTCCCCATCGTGTCAGCCATCATCGGCTTCTGAGATGACTTTCTCCGCTTGTAACTCTCTGGGTCAGATGAAGAGGATTTCTTCTTGGCCTTGAAGTCCGCCATGTACTTGGACATCCGGGAAGACTTTACCCTCTTCTTGACAGCAGCCTTGTGAATGAATGAATGGATGGATGGATGATTGGATAGATGGATTGTATGGATGGATGGATGGATGGATGGATGGATGGATGGATGGATGGAAGGATGGATGAATGGATGGATGGATGGATGGATGGATGGATGGATGGATGGATGGATGGACAAACAAATGGATGAATGAGTGAGTAAGTGAGTGAGTGGACGAATGAATAAATGAATGAATGCATGGATGAGTGAATGGATGATTGGATGGATGGATGGATGGATGGATGGATGGATGGACAAATAAATGAATGGATGGATGGATGAATTTTATCATTGTGTCTTACAACATTGTCGCCGAGCCCACATGGGCTTATAAGACACCAGTACAGAAGTCACATGATTGAAACATAAGTATAAAGTAAACATAAATTCAAGTCAAATCAAAGGTCATACTGTGTCATAAAGGTCATAAAGGAACATAATACAACGTTAGAGTGTTACATGACATAATTGGTGCATAAAAGTCAACTCAAAAAACCTTGTTCTCGTGGCAGAAGAAGTAGACCAGACCAGCCAGTGGCAGGATGAGCAGGAGAAATACGAGGAAGAACACGAGAACGTCTTTTGTACCTGGGATGGAGGGATGTGAAAAGTGGGGTCATGTGATCATGTAATCAGCAGCGTGTTCGGCTCAGTACCAAGAGGTCCCAGGTACAAATCCTACTCTATAACCGATCTTGTTGCCCAATTTTAAAACAATAAACGTGAATCTGGACCTGTACCTGACAGTAATCAGAAACAACTGACCCACAAGGCACATACATGTACAAGCTCCATCATATGTATTGTTTTTTTTTTGGTACCATGTACATTGTATGACTGTGTAAAATATGTATAGATTTATTAGGAGTTTAAATCATGTAAACTCTATATTTTCTATATATTCTGTCTGACCCTTACCTCTTCTTTAATGACCTCAGTTTGAGCCCAATTTCAGCTTCTCATTAATAAAGAATGGTTTGTTCAAACAAACAAACAAAAACATGCCAAGAGATCAGCACAGTTGAAGCCTAGGTTGGTAGCACCAATGGTAATAACACATTCCAACATCAAATTTCCTGGGCCTTACATAGCACTAGACACATTTTCCTAGCCTGGTTATCAGACATATGGATAGCTCCAGAGTCCTACATCCCCTCGTAACTCCTGAGTCCTACATCCTCTCCTTAAATAGGAGGTAGGAATCAGGAGCTATAATATAGGGGTAACCAGGCTAGAAAAATGTGTCTAGTGCTGTGTAATGCCCAGGAATTTTGATGTTGTGTTATTTTCCATTGTTTTGTCCTGCTCTGTTTGGCAGGTGTTCTCACCTGGCATGATGTCGATCCACCAGCCGGTCCCCTGGGGTGTGGTCTGGAGCTGTGTTGCCATGGAAACATTCTGTGTTGTCATAGCAACACCAGTGTGGCCTGCCCCTGTTGTACTGGAGGCTGTTTGTTGCGGTGTGACCTGTGTTGGTGGTGTTAAGTTGTCTATATGTTAAACAATGGTCCTTCAGCACCAAGGACAGATACAGTACACTGAAGCTGTCTATATGATAAATAGTGTTCCAGTCTATATGATATATAGTGTTCCAGTACCAGGGACAGATAAGTTGTCTATGTGTTAAACAATGGTGTTTTTGCACTAAGGACAGATACAGTTTACCGAAGTTGTGTAATATATATTAAACAATGGTGTTTCAGCACTAACGACAGATACAGTTCACTGGAGCTGTCTATATGTTAAATAGTGTTTCAGTACCAAGGACAGATACAGTTCACTGAAGTTGTCTATATGTTAAACAATGGTGTTTCAGCACCAAGGACAGATACAGTATACTTAAGTTGTCTATATGATAATTAGTGTTTTAGGAACAGGTACAGTTCACTGAAGCTGTCTATATGTTAAATAGTTTTTCAGCACCAAGGACAGATACAGTTCACTTGAATATGTTAAACAATAGTCTTTCAGCACCAAGGACAGATACAGTTCACTTAAGTTGTCTAATGTTAAACAATAGTCTGTCAGCACTAAGGACAGATACAGTTCACTGAAGTTGTCTATATGTTAAACAATGGTCTTTCAGCACTAAGGACAGATACAGTTCACTTAAGTTGTCTACATGATAGATAGTGTTTCAGTACCAAGGACATAAACAGTTCACTGAAGCTGTCTATATGATATATGAAATATGATATATATGAAATAGTGTTTCAGTACCAGGGACAGATATACTAGTAGTTCACTGAAGTTGTCTAATGTTAAACAATGGTGTTTCAGCACTAAGGACAGATACAGTTCACTAAAGGTGTCTTTATGGTCTTTCAGCACTAATGACAGATACACTTAAGTTGTCTAAAATAGTGTTTCAGGACCAGGGACAGATACAGTTCACTGAAGTTGTCTAATGTTAAACAATGGTCTTTGCGTACCTGTGTTGTTGCTGTTGTTGTTGTTTGTGTTGCTATGGGAGATGATGTCCACCATGATGCGGTTGTCGTGGTGATGTTAGGGAAGAGAGCTGTGATGAGCTCACACCTGTTGTTGTAGCACACCTGGACAGGGAGACAAGGAGTGTTTTTTTAAACCTCAGAATAATTTTCATTTCAAGAAGTGTTTTGCAAGACCAAATAAGAATTCTGTTCAAGTGACTAATCTCCAATCAGATCTTCGGTCACTGGCTACCATCTATTGGCAAGGCAGTATGCAATACACCACCCCAAGTTGGCTGGCAAAAAAAGATACCATTATGAAAAAATAAAACCCAATAAAAAAGCCTGTAAAACATATAAGAGCAGATGCCTAAACATCTTCTTGAAGAGTCTCTGATTCGAAGTCCCAACCTCTTGGCTCAGAGACAGGGCTGCTAACCATGGACTACGTACACACACTGTGCTCAGGTTAATACAAATTCACTGCCTACTCCTCCAATGACTTCACCATTCCCCACCTTATCCTGTCCACACTTGGTGCCTGCCATGACCAGCCCCGGGTCTGGGATGTCGCCCCCCAGGTCTACGTACACGCCTCGACACCTGAGCTCCCGCCCGTTCGGCAGGGTGACCGTCGTGGTGATGATCTGGGCGCCCGACCCGATGATGGGCGCTTCCCCTCCTCCCTGGCACTGGAGTTTGCCACAAAGGGCATCCCTGGGAAAATGTAGATACAAACGTTACCATCAGGCCACACCAATTCAATTTGTTGGTTCTTGGATTTTGCTGGGGTTTGCTTATTTGTTTCGCATAATCGGTAAACTTCCTTTAGGTGTTTTGTACAGTAAGTACAAGTAAATACAAGCTGCATCATCTAAGTGAAGTGAGGAAAGTTATGTAAAGTGAGAGGTCCCTAGGGCACAAGATCGGTGACATGGTAGGATTCTAACCCTGGACCTCTTGGCACTGATCTGAACACAGTACCGTTTATGCCACACAACCCCACTGGGTCAGTCAGGAAACCGAAACACATATTTTTCCTAAGCTGCAAGGCACAAATGTTAATGTATCATGAAAATCATGTAAATGTTAAAACTGAGTAGTTTACTGACGTCTCGGCACAAGCCCGGTAGTTTCCGTCCTGGTCCATCCCACAGTGTCCGTACTGGTCAGCCCGGAGGTTCACCGACTGGAAACACATGTCATGGGCCTTGTCTGCACCTGGAGCACACAGATTACAGGACTGGTATAAACTTGTGGATATACCAACTACTAAGTACCTAATACCAGCTCAGAAAAGAATAAGGAATAGTCATGCCTTCAAGTACCAGAGTTATCAACCAATAATTGAGGTGTTCAAAAATTCATTCTTTCCTAGAACTATCACAGAGTGGAACTCGCTGTCACCAAGTACAGTAGGGGCATTGTCATTAGATAGCTTTAAATAATGTTTAGAGTTAGATGTTCAAGGGTTAGGTTTTGTTCGGTGTAATGTAGCCAGCTGCTGCTGCTGAAAGTTGATTTTATATTAGATAGCCCTAAAACAGAAAACTTAATAGCTTCCTACCATCACCCCAAAGTGTCCTGCACTGGTCAGTGTGGGTGAAACAGCCTCCATTGTAGCAGTAGGCCTAAGGAAAGTGTAGGATATAGAAAAACATCAGACATTGTGTAACAGTGAGGTTCAAGTTCAACCAACAGACCTACGTGTATCAGGTCTGGACCTTTTAGCCTAGTGGCTCGTGCGTTGGGTTCTCGATGTGGTGGCCCAGGAGCCAGGGTTTTTCGCATTTCTGCTCACTCCAATTGCTTGTCCCCCAGAAATTTACCATTCACAATTTCCCTGAATGGCACACTTGCCTAATATTCATGGCATGCATATGCGCACATGTGCGCGTGCACACACACACACACACACACACACACACACACACACACACACATACTCATCCTTGTTATTCCAAGCAACTTGGACACAGGTATAACTTGTTCTCACCTCAGTGTTTTGACAGGGTATCCCATTCGGACGAAACTGGTTATCTGGACACTGCACAACAGGCAAGAAATAAAAACAATATTACAGTATAATATATACTGTTTCAGCACCAAGGACAGGTACAGTTCGCTGAAATTGTCTATAGCATGTTAAACAATGGTCTTTCAGCACCAAGGACAGATACTGAAGTTGTCTATATGTTAAAACAATGTTTTTTAGTATCAGGGACAGATGCAATCGTACAACATAACAGTCAAATTTGAGGTTTCTGGCAGAGGTTTTTGGCAGCCTTGATCAACTGTTAGCCAACATCCAAGTTTATTATAACAAATGAAGACTTACCTGTGGAGACTGTCCACTGCAGTACTCAGCAAGGTCACAATCAGTGGTCTTCTGTCTGCAGAGCTCTCCCGAAGGCTTCAGCTGTGAAAATGTGGTGTTTTTTTGTTAGTGGAGCCTGTATTGTACACAATTACTGTGGGCTGCCTTGAAAATCTGTATGTCAATGTAACATGTCAATGAGCTACTTGTAATAGCTCAGATAATCTACTAATTAGTACATTGGTGAAGGTTAGACATCCAGGTAAACAATACTCAAAGAAAATTCAAACTCTACTACTGGATAAATTACAGAGATTGTCTTCTGGACATTTTGAGTGACATCCACCACATTGACTCTTCTTCAGTATCAGTGTGTGCAGTGACAGAGACTGTGACATCATGTGACTTCATGTGACACTGTATAATCATGTGATATTGCAGTCAATTTTGAAGAAGAACTTTACTGCACAACAATTGTAACGGGTACAGCGTATGGCAAGGTTACATTATAGTAGTAGTTGGTGATGCTAACAATATCAATATCTATTTTAGATGAAGCTGAACTGAACAACATGAATACAGGTTAGCACTGCTGTTCCCTTACCTGACAGCCCTGACAGCACTCGCCCATGTCGCACACAGCACCGGACAGCAGGGTGCAGTTGGCGGGGTTACAGCAGGTGCTGTTACACTCCTGTGGGATCAACCATTGGTCAACACATACCAGGGCTCGAAATACTTTTTACTGCATACTGCCCTGGTGCAGGCTACATGTAGTAGTTAGTACCAACATCAAAAATGATATGGTATTGCACAAGTAAATAAATTCTGACTAATCACTGCTGACTAACATTGTTTCAACATAATATTAACTTATATGGTATTTTTCATGCCAAAATTTCTATCAATAATTTGGCAAGAAAACTCTGCAAATGTCTGACAAAAATAATGTGTACAAAAAAGACATTGAGAAAGATCACC